GTCATAGTACAGCAGCAGGCCAAGTCTCATGCTTTAATTAACATACACAGTTCTCTGATACACTGAACACATCGTTGGGCTGTCAGTACAACTCCTGCTGGCCGTGAAGGCCATCACCTCATTAGGCTGCCTGTCTATAAATACTAAACTATGAAACATCAAACATCACACCTCTAAGCAGTGGTAAATAAGGTTAATACTGTATTGTTTATACCACAAAGTGAAGAATCTGGCAAAAGTTACTGAGGACTGTATACCTGTATACTTCATATAAGTTGTGGTTACTTGTGGTCGTAAGTCGAAACTCGTGCACCGGCTGACTAGCGTCTCAGGTTGACTCACCATATCTCCTTCACTTGCAAAAACAAACACCAAAGTCTTGGTGGGTTGTGGAAGCTACATTAGAATAAATAATAAATATATCAAGATATGACAGTAGATACTCTTAGCGTTACTAGCCAGTGTTGCCTCTCTCAGTCTTAGAGAGAAATAGAGGAAAAGTCTCAAACCTTACACGGGGGTCCAGCGAGACCTTCGCTAGCATCACTCCTTGGGGGCGTGAGGGCGGCTGTTCTGGCCCGCTCGGCGGAGTCCTGAAGACCCTCAGCTGCCTCTGTACCGAAGGAGATTGGCCAAGAAGGGTGGCCTATGGGACCCACTCGGCAGAGTTCCTGAAGGTTCTGGGCTGCCCTTGCCAATACATGATAGTAGTATTTCGTAATTATCTCTCGGCCTATGTAATCAAAATTTTAATGACCATCAATGTTGTTCGGCGTGCCAGCACCCTGGAGGCTATTGGTTCACCTCTACACCCGTGGGAACATCCAAGTCGGTTGTGTACAACAGCGTCAGAGAACTAAAGCAGCCTTACAGTAAGAACGGAATGTTCTATAATAATCAGCACTAATGTCTTACGCCTCATTAAGGCATCATGTATTGGTCAATACAAAAGTTTTACCAAATTAATGGCCGACAATCCATTATAATATTAATGATTTTTTACTTGTAATAAATAAATAGCTTCATACAAAACGTAACATAACGTAACGTCCGTAACATAATGATATGTAACAAAATGTAACGAAACATAAAGTAACCTGCTTTAGGTATATATAATTTGAATATATTATGATTATAAACGACGTCTTATTATGAAACAGCATTTTTTTATGCAAATTAATTTACATTGTCATAACAATGAAAAAAGATTATCCCATTATCCCTATTTGGCGGACACACACACACACACGCACGCACAGACATACACACACACACACACGGGTGGCTGAGAAAAAAGTACAGGGGGAAGGGAATAGGAGAGAAGGTGATGTATGGTAGAAATATCCTGTCATGACGTGTTTAAATTTTTTGACAACACATGGATATAACTTGCCAAGGGGACAAGGTAATGATGTGATACACAACAGTGGTTCATCATTATTCTATGGCCAGCAAGGAAATAATTAGAGAGTTTCATGAAGTGACTCACACAGAAACACATGAACATTTTTATACTGTTTTAAAAGTATTGTCTAATAAAGTTAATAAATTCTTGTAATTAGTTGTTAATAATGTCTCTATACAAAAGCCTATGTGATACATAGGCTCCATAAGACATGAGATATATCAAAGAGAAGCACCATCATCACACTCACCACATACAGAAGCACCATCATCACACTCACTACACAGTGAAGTACCATCATCAAACTCGCCACACAGAGAAGCACCATCATCACACTCACCACACAGAGAAGCACCATCATCACAAACACCACCGCATTCATCACCACACTGATTGTGATACTACTCCTAACATCAGTTTTAAAGGACATATGAGTTGTCAATATTACTTGTTGAAATATAAATTATTGTTGTTTCAGTTTGTGTAACTTTGGTTTATTATTTTATTAAGACATTAATGTTAATGCTGAAATGGTAATGAACAACTGACTAAAAAGAGGATTTTCTTACACCTACATCATTAACATGATCAGTATCATTTTCAATACCAATATCATTAACATCGAATATTCTTATGGAGACTTACTGGCTACCCTGGCTCTGTCCGCAGTGCCCAACTGGAACTCTCCTGCATACTTTTGTTGAACTATCGCCTCGCCTGTATACTTTTGTTGAACTATCGCCTAGCCTGTTCAACCTGTGTCTGGCCATGGGACCATTGCAATGAGCCGCCGACCAGAAACACCACCCTAGCCTCACCTCCCGCTCAACCTAGTGGGTCAGAGATTATGGGTTCTGACTGTACATGTGTACAGTATGTGTGCCTAAAAAAGAGAAAATTGACAAGTAAGAAAGAGAACTTTGACTACTGGCCACATACACTCTGCTACAATTAGTGGCCCTGTCATGATCGTGATGACGGCTAACCTGAAAACCTTAAGGATTCATATTACGCTCAAACGTCCACAAAACCTTCCGAGTCCCCCAGTGGAAACGTCCCCCGTTTTCTCTGTTTCCTTGATGACGTCATCGATAGGCAGTCTTTGTCTAGAGGGAACTGTGAATATAATCCGCGGATTTCGTAGCAGACTCTGTATGTTGGGACCTGTTGCCATCCAACCCTTTGTAATCAATTTAATTTTGCTTTTGATAGCTCAGTCAGAGCATTGTTAGTGAGGATAATAATAGGGAATGAAACTGAGTTCATAGTCTCAGTTTCAATGTCAGAGTGTACAGTAAATTAATTCATCGAAATAGAAGTAGGTGGACTCCCTGGCCCATTCTGAGTGAGGGTGCCGCGGGCATTTCAACCGTTAGTAAGTGCTCGTCCCTTCACCCATACAGGTAGGCCATTCCACTCTGTGTTGTAATTCGCCCTTCTTTAAGTGATTTGACCCAATTAATAGTTGATTGTGCAAGTGTTACAGTAACGTAGTTGATATGCTCTGAGTGAAGTCATATTTACGTCTTTAACGTCCCCTGAAATGTGATGTCGTTGTCACTGTTAGTAAGTGCTCGTCCCTTCACCCATACAGGTCCCTAACGCAGCGTAGGCCGTGTCTGTAGAGGGGATGTTGTATCCACTATGTCTGGGGACATATCCGAGGTCCCGTAGGATCAGTTACCTTCGTGAGACCCGGCCGTCAGACACTTCAGACTACCTATGGCCCCCATAGCTGGCTCGTCTGGCACTAACGCTCGGCCTGCGAGGTGACCCCGAATCACCAAGCCACACACAACTACCAGCCCCCATCATTGGTGGATGAGTGTCTACCTCAGTAGGGCTAATTGTGTGGTGGGGTTAATCCACTGGGGTCTTCAGAGTTCGTCGGAAAGTACCACATGGTGGCAGGACCACATGGCGGCTGCTTGAGTATCACTCCTGACGACCGAGTGTTGTAGTGGCAGTTGCCCCGGGTCTTTATGGTGCTAAGTGACTATAAGAGTTATGTGTTATTGAGTATGTCCACCCAGTAGGGTTGGGAGTGTTATTGAGTATGTCTACCCAGTAGTGGTGTGAGTATGTTGAGCCTGAGGGCATAGTACCAGATTTCGTCTGTTGGTACATATATATTCTTTCTCCTACATCCATATTAATGTTTAAATAAATTTTGTATTTGTATATTGTGTCTATTATTTACCTACAGTATTTACCGTTATTTCTTCCCTATTACTTGATATTATCATTACATATACCCACGAGCCTCCTCTCGTCACGCTACCAATGGTACTAAGTATGAGAGTAAAAGGAATTATTACTGACACACAGGCCCTTATAAAATGGTGGCAGCCCAGGCCCTCATAACCCAAGGAGTGACGCATTCACACAGGATGAACGAGAAACGGATCTCTCTTCCAGTCTTCAATTTAAACACTGACGAACAGAAGTACGTCGCCCTGGTCTGTTCCTTGCCGACAGAAGTCGCCACGCAAGTTTCAGAATTCATCACTAACCCCTCCAGATGACAAAAAATCGCAGCTCTACGAGACGCTCTCAAGGGGTGATACCAGCGGCCTGGCACTAGTCTCCTGCAAGACTTATCAGGTCTCTCCCTGGGCAACTCAACTCCTGCACATCTCTTTTTTCCTCCATTTCCCTCTACCAGATTTAAAGTTGCAGTTATTAGCCATTTTTGCAACTGTATTTGCTAACAGACAATTTGAAATATACAAGCATATGTTTTTATCTTCCACATCTAACTTTAGGAACTACTCTGCAAGTCTTTGTTGTATAGAAAACATATGATACTGTACTTGAATTGCCAGATTGATGAGAGCATTATTATGGTAGCCGGTACAGTAACATATTTTTCTTGAGCTGTTTATACATGCATTTTATTTGAAAACATTTTCTTCATTCCTCAAAGTTCCTTTATGATATCTAAAAACTTAAGAATTAAAGTGTTTCCAAAAGAAACGTTCTGTATGATGACAACCATTTTCACATGATCATATCCTAAAAAGCATGAAAGACTCAGCTTGGTGCTGAGCTTTAACATGACAGGCAGTCATCACCCGCATCCATAGTGAACAACACCCACCACCCTGCCTGGCTCCAAGACAACACAGGTTATGAAAGCACATCATTACATTAACCTCAAGATGTTAGTCTTCTTCATAATTAAAACAAAAACATATAATTACACTATATACAGTACAGTGCAAGTGTTATAGATACAGTACAGTATATGATATACAATATGTGATAATTTATAAGATTGATATTGCAGTGTAAATATTTACCCGGTAAATGTTTTTACAACTGTGCAATACTGTATATTTGTTCATATTAAATGGTATAAAACTCGTGTAAAGTTGTAGCTACCACCATCGCTCTCACTGAAGAACCGAACGCAAGTACTGTAATTACCATTTACTGTAAAATAATCAATGTGTTGCTTTGAGAAATTAGCCCTATATATCAAAATACTGCATGATGTACTGGGTATAGAGTATACAACTTCCAATTTTGGGCACCAGTATACTGCTCAATAATGTGTACACAGTTAGTTATATTGGGATAGAAATATTCAGCATCAGTCATGTTCCTTTTATTGATACAATAACACTAAATTTGTGTTGAAATATTTTTGTACTTTTTTCATTGCTCAAGCTTTTTTTGTATTTTCTGTTGCTTGCATTTAATATGAGTAAATGTGGCTATTTACAGGGTGAGAGATAGTCCATGGAGGTCAGTCGTCTTCAGAAGTCTATTGAGCCAGGTACAGTTCCTTTAACATTATTATAAACTCTTTATTGAACTTGCTATTTAATAATAAAGTGGTGGATGAGTTCAGAAAATATGACTATGCTTCTACCTGAAATGAATCAATATTAAATGAAATGAGCTGCTGGTGCTGCTGCTGCTGCTAAGAGCTTACAATAATGTGTGTAGAACCACTGCATATCCTCATCCAGCTTGGGTCATCAACAAATTAAAGTCATGTTTGGTTAGCTTTTCACAATCAACTCTGTGTTACTGTTTTAGAGGTTCATCTGTCATGGCAAAAAATTCAATATCATCAAGGATTGGTGCATCACCCATGTACTCAGGCATACCATCATTACACTTGAGGCACTCACACTCCGCAATATTGTTATACGCAGGACTGAATGTCACCCCTGAGTCACACCGTAACTGGACCCGTATCTTTTCAAATCTTGAAGGTTTACAGCAGAAACATGTAGGAACATGAGATGCCTGGCGACCTGAAAATAAAGAGACATATGTTTATATAAACAATTAACCAAACAAAAATATGTCCATATAGACTAAGCCAAAAATAACATTGTGCCCAAATGAAAAACTGAACGCTGTACAAAAGTAAATCACAATATATCAAGAAAATCTTAATTCATTTGACTGTTATAAATTTTACAAAATAATTTTGAAACAGTGATGCTCGTTGAAGAAACTTATAATTCATCATCAATCAGCAATAAAACACTAGATGCAAAAGTTAGCATTGTACAGTTCCCAATACGACAAATAAGATGCAATTTGGCATTGAAACACAAATTGTTAGCATATGACAATTAGTGTCCTTATTATCTGTCTAACAATCAATCGTCATTATTTCTGCTGGTAAAACTCTCAGTTTCCTATAAGAGTGAATTAACTTATTTATTTGTATGAACCAGTTACAGGTATAAGTGATTGTTGTGAGTACTCTACTGTTCAGTACTTCCTGAACAGTACCTGAACATAATATAGCTGTCATGACATACTTTGTACGAGGTATAAATTGAACAAAGTATTCATACAATACTTATGCAATAATAAGGGCTATATTACAAGACCCTATAAAATGATAATGCTGAGTACGACAGCCCCCTAGGATAACCCAGACCATGGCTTTCTTATTAATTAAATACAACAGAATCTCACTTTAAAATATATAAAATATTTAAATAAAATTTCAGTATACAATAACTGTAGTGCACTAGTGCAGAATATTGTCATATATACACACCTACTTGTCCCGCACAGTAAACAATATTGTATTCTTGATAAGTGATCACCTGCTTCTCTTCCAAGACATATCAATATGGCACAGAGTCAAACACTTCAATGTAAATGGAAGAATAATAACAGAGTTTAAATGTTTGTTTTTGTTTTTCTTGAAGAGTAAAATAAGAATTCAATACCCTGTACAGTATGTGCATTATTTTCATTTCTAAACCTATATAACTTACAATTGAAACATTTTTGAACAGATAATTACACTTAAGATATTTTGGTCTAAATCTTATCATTTGTCCTGATGGCTGACCACAAAGATAAGATGTGATGTGAATAAAAAATAAAAAGAATAGCCACAATTATGCTGACCATTTAAAGTGCAGTACATACCATACACAATTACAGTGATATCTCTGTTAGCTGGCACTTCCGGGAATGAGAAATTTCCCAGTAACAAGACAACTCTCTCAAACCCAGAAAAAAATCCCTCATCTCCGGAATTTTCCGGGTAGCCTGTGTACCGGAAAAATTTTCTCGGAATTTCTGGAAATTGCATATTACAGTACATGATCTCCCAAATCCAGAACAAAAAATCTCTCTTCCCTGGAATTTTTCTGGGTAGTACTGGAATTTTCTGAGAATTTTCCATAATGTCACATTATTTCATCTCTCAGACCCAGAAAAAATCCCCCATCCCCAGAAATTTCCAGGTACTATACCCAGAAAATGTTCTCAAAATGTTCCAGAAAATGCGCCCCTTGGAAAATCGTTCGCAAACCTGGATTTCCGCAAAATTCTGTGCAAATTTCAATTCCAGCTATTGGAGACGTACGGTTAAGAGGGATTCTGGCTAATGTTTACAAACTATGTAAATAGTATCTTACTGATTTTATATGTACATTTACATGATGTGATGGATATGGAAGGATTGAGGACTGTTATCTGAGAGTGTATGTTAATGATGTGAAGCACCAGGAGCAGTGAAATGAATGGAGCAAGTGTCACAAACTCCACAAAACCATAATCAACCAATTTACTAGAATTAATTACAGGTGTTCGTCAACATACTAATGTGTATGATGCGAATTTCCTAAATTGACACCACTATTTCGAGAAACGAGAAAACTTCAAATTTCACGCACCAGTAGTCAGTTGGTGCGGTTCTCTTGAGGAGAGTTGCACAAAGATGTTTTCTTACTCACTGAGCATACCCCTTCCCGCATCTCCCACAAGCCCACGTCTTTCCTTTCGCCATTCGTTGTGTGTGTGCGCGTGTAAAGGGATCTCTCTTTATCCATGCCATCCTTTCGTTACTACATTTGTTATGGCATTCAAGCATTCTGCTGAATCTTCGGCTACCCGTACTACACCAAAGAAACCACGAAAGGCTGTGACTCTTGAAACAAAGCTGTAGGTAATTAAGCATCATGGACATGGTGATGGCACTACCAAGGTTGGGAAAAATCTTGGTCAATCTGCTTCTACTGTGGTCACAATTTAAAAGCATGCTAAGATCAAACAAGCAGCAGGAAACGTCACGTGGACAGGAGCACGCAGGATTAGCCATAGTTGTGACTCTGTGATGGACAACATGGAGCTTTGTCTTCGAGGGAAGACTGCAGGAGTGAGAGTACACCTGACCAAGGGTTTTAACAGAAAGAGTATCCCCTGAAAGGCTGAAAGTTTTGTGATGGCACCGAGTGTGAGCTCATTCAAGACCAGATTTGACCAACACTGATGCAAGTACAAATACATTCTGGATCCAATACTTGACAACAGTGTGTAACAGAGATGTGACTGACCGCCCAGCGGCTAATGAGCCGATCAGTGGTGACGAGGGTAAACGTAAGTAAAAGTGCCAGAGTGGGAGGAAAACACAAAGGGGACCACGATCCTGAATAACATCTGGGATGCAGTGTTCAACCTCAAGGCAACCAAGGAAAAGATTACGGAGACGACACTGAGGAATGAGTGGAAGAGGCTCCTGAATGGTGTTAGTGGTGCTGCTGTAGAAACTGTGTTACAGGAGGATGCAGAGTTTGAGGGCTTCAAAGTGGAAGAAGTTCACACTATTTTCTGTGACAGTGGAGACACTGCTGTGACCGAGGAGGAAGTGGGTGAGTGGTTGTAGGTGGAGGGTGCACCTGAGCACCCATTTACCAGAGCCTTCGGGAGATGATAGCAATTGCTATTGATAAACTGCAAAAGAGGATCAAGATGAAATAACAACAGATTTAGGACTACTTCCCCAAGGTCCCCCCACTTCAGTCCCCAGGTGTCCTAGTGGTGTCTCCTTGGGCAGTTTGCCTAGTACCAGTGGTGATAGTGTTTCTGGCCCCAGCCCACAGCCCTCAACTTCAGAGATGGCACATCTACCACCTTTACCACCACCATCAACACATATGTCATCATCCTGTCCATCATTACAATCCAGTACTTCTTTCTTAATGGAAATCCCCCGTGTCACTCCTGAAGTACCTCTCTCCTTCATGGAGGGAGAGGAGGGTGACAGTTCGCACCAGCTGCCACAGTAGATGGTACAGAACAGGACATCCAGTATCATCATATCACCATTTCACCTGCCTGTATCATAAGCTCAAGACCACAGCATCTGCTGGTGAGTACAGTATAGTGTATACAGCAGTTTATTTACATTATATTGTACATGTATAGTAGTGGTTGCATAAATAAATACATCTCTGTGTCTGTCTGACTGCAGTTAAGTCTCTCCATGCAAGATGTATAATTTAGACATGGAAATGTTCACCAGTACCTGGAAAAAATCTGGCTATGTGCTATTTTTTCTGGGATAAGAAAATTTTTCTCAATACTCAAAAATCCCTCAAATCGGGAGATTACATATATAGTAATTCATACCTGGACATATGACAGATTCATAAAGTTGCTGTAATTCTTATGTTACTGCAAAGTATACGTAAATATCTAGTATTATGTTCAGTATATACAGCAGTCCCTTGCAAACAGCAGATTTTCTATCTGCAGATTTAGGGTATCCAGAGATTCTATCAACTGTAGCAATGAATTTTGGGAATCGGCGGTTTAGCGTGCCATCATGTTCCCTCCGTGTTCTAATATATTCATCCGCGCAGTGTCCAGCTTTCCGCCACTGGTTGAACCACACTTTCTCAGTGTTGTGATCTCGTACTAGGCAGACATATTTTAGCGCTCCGTACACTGGATGTTTATTACATTTTCTATTGTAATAACATTTATTTTGCCTTTAACTATCGCCCAAGCGTACACTGGGTGTTAGTGATAAAGGTGAGGAATATAATGTCTCTAGAAAAGAAAGTTGATAGCACGTAGCGAGAGTGTAGTGTCAGTGGGACCCGCCGTGGAGGTAAATGAATACCTGATTCATACGTTCATTCATTGAAACCACTGTTACTGACAGTCTCATCATCACTGACTCTCTATCCTCACTACTTGCCCTTGGTACCCTCGACTCAGGTTGTCACGATCTTGTCTCTGAAGCCAGACACAAATATGCGTGCCTTGTTGACCGGGGTGTCAGGGTCAAACTGTTGTGGATCCCCTCTCACATAGGCCTCATAAAACATGACAGAGTTGATGCCCTCGCCAAACTCGCGTCTAACAAAGACACCGTTGAATACAATTTGGGTCTGTCAAAAGAACCCTTAAAACTGTAATTAGGAAAGAACTTATTGATGAGTTTGACGCAAGTAGACAAGTGCAAACAGGCACTAGTCGATCCATAGGTTACCATGATGAGATGTATCAAGTGAAACATGTATATGGAGCAAGTAACAAGATCACTAGATTACAAGATGTTGTAACCGCTAGATTAAGGTTAGAATATAAGTACCTTTGGCAGTATGTTCCTCAAGCAGATGTAAACAAAACTAATGTTAAGTGTTGACAACCTTTGTACTTATTTTACCTTATTTCAAATCTCGACTGGCGCTTGAAGATAAAACCTTTGGAACAGGTCCAAAACACACTGTGTGTGAAATAACAACACTTCATCTCTATTGTGAATAGCCGACTTATGTGTAAGATTATACCATCCACTTTTTGCACTCAGTAACTATATCAGTTCTCATGTGAAACCAAATACGCAGTAGCGAATGCCTCCCGTAATCTGAATAACAAAGTGTAAGAATGAACATACCCTCCACTTTCATTCTCACGCATTTGTGAATAAATTTACCCTTTATGTATAAACTAAACAAATAAATGTAAATGAAATACTGTATGCAACTTTTCGGTGCTATAATATCCTGACAACAGGGGGTTAATTATTATGACCATACCTTAAGCCCTACTCTGGCAATCCTTTTTGCGCTACCGCTCACAGGATGAGTGTAGGGGTGCACAATAAAAGTAGCCACTGCAAAAACAACAATCAATCAAAATCAATCATATAAGCATCAACCCATGTTTGAAGAAGCTATTGAGTATTCGAGTTAATGATGATGTTGGTAACTTGACCACTCATCACTGTTTCCCAAAACCAGTGTTTACCCTGTTTCGCCTAAATCTAGTTGTCTAATTCAAACCATTGTTACGAAAGTTCGCTCCTGGATTGGATAGTTTGAGTGTCTTTGTAATGTCCCTTTGTTTAGCCCCTGACTTCCACTATTTTTGCCTCTATCAGATAGCCCCTCCTCTACCGTCTCTCGAGGGGTGCAAATTAAGATACTTTAACCTGTCTCTGTCTCAGGTTCCCTAATGCCCCAGGTTAATCTTGTCATTCTCCTCTGAATTCTTCCAGCGTTCTATGTCCATTCTGTATTCCCCAGCAGTAGAACAGACTGCATAATCCAGGTGTGGTCTACAAGGCTCTGATTTGGATGACCTCCGCTGATCTTATATGCTGCTCAACATATGAACCCAAGTACTTTATTAGCCATGTTACGAGCAAAAACACATTGTTTACTTGGCTTAAGGTTCCTACTTATCATTACTCCTAAATCTCTCTCGCAGTCGGATTTCTCTATGGCATCGTTGTTCATCTGGTATCTGGTTTCCCTGTTTATATCTCCTATACTGAGTACTTTACATTTGCCCACGTTGAATTTCATCTGCCATTTTTCAGACCATTCGAAAAATTTGTTTAGATCTTCCTGTAGTTTTGCTGAGTCCTCGTCAGATTTAATAACACGTCCTATTTTAGTGCCATCAGCAAATTTACTTATGTTGCTGTCTATGCCGATATCTATGTCGTTTATGTATATAATAAATAATAATGGTCCAAGTACTGAGCCTTGGGGAACTCCACTCGTGACGTTGCTCCAATGGGACTTAGTGCCGTTAATGCTCACTTGCTGTTTCCTGTCCAGTAACCGCACCATAATCCATTTAAGGATGTTACCTTTGATGCCATGAGCTTCTACCTTTCTAATTAGTCTTTCGTGGGGGACTCTGTCGTAGGCTTTGCTAAAGTCGAGATATACCACATCATAATTGTGCCCCTCGTCCACGGATTCGAAAACTGATGAAAAGAATGTTAATAGATTAGTTAGACAAGAACGTCCGCTTGTGAAGCCATGCTTGGAATCATTGATCAATCGGTGCTTCTCCAGGTGATTTCGAATAGAGTTTGAAAGGATTGCTTCCAGTAATTTGCCTACTATTGATGTTAGACTGATTGGGCAGTAGTTAGAGGATAGTGATCTATCCCCCTTCTTGAAAATCGGTATTACATTCCCTATCCTCCAGGATTCTGGTACTACACCTGTTTTTAAGGACATGTGAAACAACTTTGCTAAGGGCATACTAAGCTCTTCCTTACATTCCTTTAATACTCTGGCAAATATCTCATCGGGACCAGGTGACCTATTAGGATTTGGTTTGTCTATTTGATTACTAACATCGTTACTAGTCATTACTATCTCGCTTAATTTGTTTTCTTCACTATCTCTGAATAGAGTCGGTGCCTCGGGTATTATGTTTAAATTTTCGGTGGTGAAAACTGTTGAAAAATATTTATTCAAATTATTGCTCATTTCTCCGTCGTTATCAGTGAGCTCGCCGGTATCTGACCGTATTGGTCCAATCTTTCCTCGTGTTTTAGTCTGATACATATGGTAGAATCCTTTGGGGTTTGTCTTCGCCTCCCTTGCTATCCTTACCTCATTATCCCTCTTGGCTTTCCTTATCTCGGTTTTAACTCTACTCGCCAATATCTTATAATAATCCTGGAGGTAAATTTCGCCACGCTTTATCCTTCTACCTATAGCCTTCCTTTGGCCAATGATGTTCTTTAAATAATTATTTATCCATTTAGGGTCATTGTTGTCTGATCTGAATTTTTTGTATGGTATGTTCTGCCTCTGTGCATTAAGTAACTCATTATTTAAATTGACGTGGAACTTGGCAGTCTCAGATGTCGTTATCAGGTCGGAGTCATCTGTCACGTTCACGGCCAAGCGCGACACCCCCTCTCTCAGCTGCCTCTTTAAACTGTCAAAGTTTGCCCTTCTGAAATCTGGTACTTTAGTGGAATTTTCCTTACGTCTGCCCTGAAAATCTAACTGGAATCGAATTTCTTTGTGATCGCTGTTTGCAAGTTCGTTCCCTACCTCGACATTGCTAATGAGGTTTTCTCTGTACGACAGAACTAAATCGAGTATATTATTACCCCGTGTGGGTTCGGTTATATGTTGACTTAGGAAACAGTCCTGAATCGTCTCGAGAAAATCCTCTGATTCTGAGTTACCCGTAGGGTCAGTCCAATCTATTTGGCCAAGGTTAAAGTCGCCTACTATACAGACTTTGTTGTGTATGGAAGCCCTGTGCATTTCATCCCAGATAAGTCGCTCATTGACTCTATCAAGATTGGGAGGTCTATATATTACTCCTGTGATTAATTTTTCCCTACCATCGCTTAATTCTATCCAAATTGTTTCTGTATTCCGCTCAGTTTTTATTTCCTTATATTTGTCTCAAATTTAATGAGATGTACAATGCAGGTATTGTTTTGTGAGGGAACAAGAAACTTTGATGAGTGTCATAGGCGGCCATTGAACCTAACCCCCTATTTCCCATAAGCCTTTAGTCTTGCCAACCGTGGATTTACCATTCACGGGGTTTTCCAGGAACTTAACCCCGCGTTTGGTAAAAAAAATACACATTTAAATGACAAGCTATTGGCATATGTCAATGGAAGCTGAAAGGGACTGTATACCACAAAGCAAAATTCTTTACCTTGGCCCTGGAAAAGGGTGTAGGAGTCACAGTGTCCAGAGCACTGCTTGAAGTCAGGTACAGGAGCGGGATTTTTACATGTTCCCACATGTCGTGTAGATATTTGGAAGATACCAATAGTTTCTTCAAGAGGCATGGCCTTTGGCTTGCAGTCTCCTGGGTTGTAAAATATAGCGTATTTTAGGCATCAGTTAAAAAAACACTTGAAAACATTATTGGAAAATCTTTTTTTTTAATTAGAAATGCAGTTCACTATTGTCTACATTTCTATGAACCCATTATCACTAAGTTTTAGTGTTTCAGCCTTCTGAGGGACCACGAGTGTGTAGTAGCATGAATATGGTATTTATAATACAAAATATGAAATATAAAATAAAGAAATAAAAGCAAAATGTTTAGTTAATATAGTGCTTTAACTCACATTCATCTATGGAAAAAACTGAACGCTTAACACTTCAAGGTTTTAAATTATACTGTACAGCAAGAGATAATACAAACATGACAAGCGAAAACCTGAAGGAGATGAAATGTCGTCTGTGACAACATTATCAACTAGTTACATAACCTTACTACTAATAATACCTGTAAATTAATATATTAACATTTATGCCTATATTTATTAACAAGAGATGCCCAGCTTAAGTGTCTGCTAGCTGACGTTACCCTGATGAAGTGCTTCTCACACCCAGTGATGTATTGAAATTATTACATTGAGTAACACACAGACAGGTGGATGGCCACTTACTTTTTTCTTGTCTTGTGATATTGCATAGTTTACAACAACGCAACTCATCTATATATATTTCCTCCTCGGGACACTCAGGGTCAAAGTATGGACACTCTTTCTTGACAGCAACAGTAGTCATGACATCATTACGGGTCTCACAGCTGTATTCATAACACACATCTCCTTCACTTTCCCAACGTTCACCGATGGAGTATGACGTGCCATCGTCAACACAGTGTGTCTTGATGCACTTACCACAACAATCAGTGCTGTTATAAAAACAATAAAGGCTATTAACTTTCACATAAGTGACCACCTATATACTTCACCAATGCCCATAGCCTTCAGCTTATATCTCTGAACAATATAATGCACTTTATATGCTGTAATGTTGTCTTCTAATTAATTATGTTACTTTGCATTAATCAAATATAACTATACAGTATATGTGAATAAAAATACTGTTTATCAAGAATAAAATACTAATTGTCTACAGTAGGCAACTATCAAACAGGGAGGTATTGGAAGCATAATGTGTTGTCTAATGGTAGACACTGCTGCCATATGGCATCACAAAATTTGTGACCAAGTCTCAGGTTGCTGATCAGACATTCTGCCTCATTTACACACAACTGCAGGGTCTCAGTTGTTTCTCTTACTCTGACAACACAACATACATACTGTATATCGTTTTTCAATCTTGATCTTTTCTTTATCTTTGTATTTATTTATGGTCTTATTATTATTATTATTATTATTATTATTCATAATTTTAAATATAATATAAAAAATTATTATTAGTAGTAGTAGCAGTAGTAGTATTTTATTATATTTTTATTAATTTGTTTATAGCTTATTATTATTATTATTATTATTATTATTATTATTATTATATTTTCGCCCCCAATCCCTGATGTGGGTCAGTGTCCTGGTGGGCTAATCTCAGTAAAAAACAAAAATAAATAAATAAATTTCAGTCTACGATAAAACACTTACAGTACAACCATCACACTGTGTTATACCACAACCATCACACTGTGTTATACCACAACCATCACACTGTGTTATACCACAACCATCACACTGTGTTATACCACAACCATCACATTGTGTTATACCACAACCATCACACTGTGTTATACCACAACCATCACACTGTGTTATACCACAACCATCACACTGTGTTATACCACAACCATCACACTGTGTTATACCACAACCATCACACTGTGTTATACCACAACCATCACACTGTGTTATACCACAACCATCACACTGTGTTATACCACAACCATCACACTGTATTTTTTAGAATTTAATTTATTTCTTAATATTTACATGCAGTTAAAAAATTCATGAACTTTCAAATATTCTCACAGCTGTTTGGCTTTAAAATCTATCAACAATATATTGTAAGATATTATTTTAGAAATTAAGAAAGAGTTTTTTCATCAGTGCACATTGTATTGTACTGTATATGCAACTTGAAACTTACAGATGAGAAAATCTTTCACTGGTAGTTTATTCAACATAAAATATTTACCAAACTTGTGTCGTCTTCACTTGAGTAACACCTCAGCAAAAATATTCATTCTCAGTTGAATTACACTTACCTAAAAGGTAATGGTTGAACATAGGTTGAGCCTAATTCACAGTTTGTGTCACAAGTGGTCTCTCTCTCACGACGTGTGACATTGCCATCTGCACCAGCCACACAGCTGATGGTGGCACAGTTATCATCTGGATCATGAACACTTTCTCCAGCCTGTAATGTATATTCATAGAAAAGAATAATATGTTTACCCTGATAATTTTCAGTACTGTATACTGTACAGAGTTACTTTGGTCATATAATTAGGAATGAGAGATTAATAACAAAATTATTAATGGGCAAAATTTAGGGTAGGAAGGCAGAGACTGGGATGGATGAAATAAATTAAAAACTGCATTCCCAAAGAGATACAAAACCTTGGGGATTGGTAAAAACAGCCCAAGAACGTTTAGGGTAAAGGAATATGGTCACCAACCCTTCGATATGAGGATGGTACTCTGATTGATACAGAGATAAAGTCAACAAAAAGATAAAAATTTTCATCTACTTTCAACAGGGTCAATTATTTTTGTTTCCTACCGCACTATGCATGGAGTAGATTAATAGGAATAATGAAAACCTCAAGAACAGAATAAATGTATATGGGTGTATGGTGTGTGACAATACAAAACAAATTAATTGTTGTACTGTAGAGGTGCTGTGCCTTGGTCCACAGTCTAAGATTCTTGCTTTAAGGAGAAGAAACACTTGTGGATCACATACTTAAAATAAATAAAAAGAAATATTCAAAGAACAAAGACATATGAGCCAAGATTTTCACAAATTTTTTTGCCAAAAAAATCCACATTCAGAAGTTCCACAATAATCGATGCAGGGACTGGGAAAAGTTGTTGCTTAGTGAAGCAACGATTATCAAAGCAATTAATCCCATAAGAACATAACAAATTCAAAGGGTTCGGGACCGGCCACCCTCCAAAAACTCCCATCTACCTTTATATATATATATATATACATATATATATATATATATATATATATATATATATATATATATATATATATATATATATATATATATATATATATATATATAGTTCACACTGTCAAGAAAGAAAATAAAGCAGACAAAAATGTTAGCACATAATAAACCTTAAATAAGCATTGCGGGTCGGGTAGTGTTGTGTCTCTGTAACAAAGCGTGTTCGGCATTCAGGCCTTCGTTGTTGAGCGGCAGAAATTGGACAGTGATTACATAAGAACATCAAGATCGTCTTAGTGATGTGAAAGTGTAAATCGATGAAGGATTTTTAATGCTATACGCGATTGTAGTTTTTAAACTCAATTTCCACCGAGTTGGAGGTACAGCCCAGGTCAGTAGGCCTACAACCACAAAATCATTGCCATATAACAAAACATTTTTTTCTTTTACGGAGTTGTGGTCACGGCTGTGATACAGGCTAACCAGAGAGTGTAGTACTGTGCTTTTAGTTAAATCAGTTCATAGTGCCATCAGTGACTGCAGAAGAGGTTGTAAATAACTTAAAGTGAATACAAACTAGCAAGCAAGCTGGTAAGGCACCACTGCCAGCAGAGACCAAGTCGTGTTATAGGTGCCAAAAGAGACTTTTAATTTTATTTTGTTTGTCTGCTTTCTCAAGGACTAAAACTGTGCCTATAATACACCATTCACAGGGAATTACAGTGTACACAGTGATAGAACAAAGAGATATTATCGTTGATGAGAACTGGAAAAGAAAGTATAAGGATATAATAGTTAAAATAAAATATAGTAATAAAAATCAACAAGCTTGGCTATCCTAAAAGGCATTCTATTACAGCCCCAAAGAAAGTTTTTTTCTATGTTTCGAAAGGATTGAGTGGGCGTATAAAATCCGTTATGCATAGCAAAATGCAGTGTACGAGTATATAGAAATAGCACATACTGTAGATACCGACAAATCGCCGAAGTGAACTGAAAAACAAAACAAAAAAACAGAAGACAACTCTAAAGGCAACAGAGGAGGTTAAAACCAGTAGAGGGCAGCTAAGTACTGTTTTTTATTAAATAGGTGTAGATATATACACAGTCTGCACCTCCCCCACCGCACAACTGCAACAACCATGAGGGGTATGAGATGTGATCACTGCAGGGGGGCGACGGATGTAGATGGTACAGGCCTGACCAATGCAATGTTTAGGACGATGCAAGCTGCCGTAAAGAATGAACGCTGGTGCTGGTATTGCCCTGACTGCATAATCAAGGTGAAAGAGGCGACTGCAAGCCATAGGGGAACGAGGCCCGAAGGACGAAAATAGATGAAGCTGGAGCCTTGCTGGTTACCAAACTAGGACAAGTCGGGAAAGAGATCCTTGTTAAGACTGAGGAAGTAGCTGATAGAATGGAGGTGGTTGCTAAGAGGAGTTATGCTGAGGCATTAGCAGGGCCACGGGGGTGGCGGAGAGTAATGCGAGTTCAGAACAGGTTCTACAGCAGCTAGGGACTCAGAGGATATATGTCGAAGAAATGAAAATTAGCAGACCTACTGTTAGGAGAGAGAAGGAACAATGGGAACGTTTCCAGAGCAGAAACAATGTAATAGTTTTTGGAGTCCCTGAGAGCCAGGCGGAGGGAAATGAGAGTAGGAAAGCACACGATAAGATGCAGTTTAGGAATATTTGTAGGAAGTTCTGATGATGCCATCAACCCCTCAGGATATGAGGAGGCTGGGACAAAAGCAGGGGATAAGCCTGACCCCCTCAGGATCACACTAGTGAGTAAGGAGGAGAAATGGGAGGTTATTCGTCAGGCAAAAAACTAAGCAAGGAGCGAGGCATTTCGGAGTGTACTCGTTCACCCAGATCGCACGGTAATGCAGAGGGCTTGAAGCAGAAGAGGGAGGAGTCAAGGAGGAAAAAGGACGGGTGTACATGGGTTATAATCAGGGGGAGGGTAGTGGAAGCAAGTGTGCCAACACAGAGCCAGGGGGCAGCAGCGCACCCTCCACCCGCTCTACACCCCCACCCGGGAGGTGGCACCAGCTCCGCCTATCAGCCGGGAGAAGGCGAGCACCGTGCAAAAAATGGCATTTCTAACCACACCCTTAGCAAATGCTGCAGCTTCTGAGAATGGAGGGGGAGTGGAGTTGCTACTAAGAGCAGAGACGTTACCGAGAACAAATTCTGGCTTGAATGTCATATACACTAATACTGACACGTTCCTTGATAAGAGAGAGGAGTTTGAAACACTACTGAAGGTACACCAACCCGATATAGTAGGAGTTGTAGAACTGTTGTACAAGAACAGGAGAATTTAAGTTCAGTATTGCTGGATATGACTCATTTACAAACCTTTCTCAAAAAAATTGCAAGAGGGGTATGGTTATCTATGCTAGGGAAGACCTTAGAGCCAGACAGGCGAGGGTACAGGGAGAGGATGTTTTTGAAGATTCCAAGAGGAAGGGGACTTACTTATTATCAGGTGTATCTACAGGTCCCCAAACTGTGGCCCACTAAATCAAAGGAACTTAAGATCCTTAATAGACAATGCGGCGATGATCAACCCTAGCCACCTCCTTCTCATGGGGGACTTTAACTATGGCGACATCGACTGGAGAAACGAGTTCACCCGAAATTATTTGAATAACCCTGCTACTCTTTTTGTAGAAACTCCCACATAATTTTCTGTTGCAACATGTTAGAGACCCAACACATTACAGAGGGGGTCAAACACCCAAGCCACTAGACCTTATCATAACAAACGAGGAGGATATGGTGGCCAAACTGGAACACCTTGCCCTAGTTGGCACCAGTCGCCATATAGTGTTGTCATTCAGATTTACCTGTTACCTAATTCAAGATAAGGCCAGACCAAGGTGCAAATATTACAAGGGAAATTACAATGGGATGAGGGAATGGCCCGACTCATTAAGGCACAAGAACGCAGACACTACGCTGAATATCATAACTAGTAAAGTGACCCATTTGATCGATAAATACATACCCAAGACCAAACCCAGTGCCTCTGGGAATACGAGGGGATCCCTACACATGAACCATGCGGTGGTTGTATGCAAGAGCCAGAAACCAAGCAAAGGCAGAGTGTAGAAAGGCTGAAAAGGAGTTCCAGAGGCTGGCTGCAAGTGAGGTCAAGTCAAACCCAAAGGCATTTTACCGCTAGGCAAAGTCGAAAATAAAAATGCGAGTAGGAGTATCAGACCTGAGGCTTGAACATGGTAGTTACGCAGATTCTGACCAGGATAAAGCTGGGGCATTAAACAGCTTCTTTTCCTCGGTGATCACAAGAGAGGATGCGATTAACCTTCCTGCGTTTGAGGACAGATGGTTCGACACAGCACTGACCCACTTTGTGTTCACAGAAGAGGGTGTTAGATATAAACTGTCAAAGCTAAAGGTCCATAATAGTCCTGGCCCTGACATGGTGCATCCCAGAGTGTTAAGAGAGTTGTGCAACGAGCTTGCCGAGCCCCTGAAGATGCTGTTCTGTAAATGCCTGGATGAACAAAGGATCCCCAGTGATTGGAAAATTAATCATGTGAGTCCTATCTTCAAGAAGGGCGATCGTCATTCCACGAACAACTATAGACCGGTGAGCCTGAACAGCATATGTAAAGTACTTGAAAGTATTATCAGAGAAGCCGCGATGGAACATCTACTACGAAACAACCATGTAAAGGATTGCCAACACGGTTTTATGCCGGGGCGCTCCTGCTTAACACAGTTGCTCAAGGTATTGGATATTTGGACCCATATTCTGGAACGGGGTGGTAATATCGACAATATATACCAAGATTTTGCCAAGGCTTTCGACAGTGTACCCCACGAAAGGCTGAAAATCAAACTGGAAGGGTACGGAATTCAGAGAAATGTCCGAGCGTGGATAGAAGACTTTCTACATGACCGTGGTGCAATTTTTTGCCACCAGCGGCCTCTGTGCACTGTCTCCGACTCATTCCCGCCATCTTTGTTCTTGTTCACACTTACTATGTGTTTCTGACTTCGTATTTTTCGTTATTTCAGATTTAGTGTGTTACTCAATCATGTCTAAACACCCCAGTGGTGATGAACCACCCTTGACCGTCTCTACCATCCGCAACACAAGTAAATAACTGTCTCGATTTATGCTTTACATTGCTTATTTAAGGTTTATTATGCTTGCTTTATACGTCTGCTTTATTTTCTTAGTTGACAGTGTTCAGTACAGATATACATCAAGGGTGGCCGGTCCCTATTCCTCCGAATTTGTTATGTTCTTATGGGATTAATTGATTCGATAACCGTTGATTCACTAAGCAACAACTTTTCCCGGTCCCTATATATGTCGGTTATTGGGGTACTCCTGTATAATATAATTGCGGGTGTGCACATGTTCTCATAGATAATTAAGAATATGTGTGGGTGAGGTACTGGACATGATGGAAGCCCTGGAAAGCTTGTCTAAGAAATGGGCCCCAACCATTATCTTGCACAGGGCCACTCTGAAGCTGGGGCCGGCCCTGGTTATTGATTACAATTAGTTAAACTATTACCATCTACGAAAAAACCCCACAGGTAGGTACAGGACTTGTCTGTATTATTATGCAAGAAGTTTAGACTTCTAGTACAACATGAAGAAGAAAATTTTTAGTGGCTACCTAAAATTCTTGTGTTACAGTGATACTTTAAGTGTAGGAGTTGACCTTTAATACTGCAATAACTATCACCTACATATTTACCTTGTTTACCTAATAAATAATAAGTTTCTATAGTTCATTTTTGAGGGTTTACATTACGCTTTACCACATGAGGGTTGTACGTTTAATTTTGCATTGTCTTATGACAACTAACCCATCTTATAGAGCTATTGTCCAGGAGGTTAACACCTTGATTAATGAAAGTTCATCTGTATCAGTATGTTAATGTAGATGGTGACATTGTTCTAGAACCTTTTCACTACTATTAGGGACCACTGAATAACATAACATAAGAATGGAGGAAACTGCAGCGGGCCTATTGGCCCATACTGGGCAGTCCCGTTTACACCCAACCCCAATTGCTCATATGAGCATCCAACCTATGTTTGAAGCAATTCAGCGTATTCGAGTTAATGATGATATTTGGTAACTTGTTCCATTCATCCACTACTCTGTTTCCAAACCAGTGTTTACCTATTTCACGCCTAAATCTAAATTTGTCTAATTTAAAACCATTGTTACGAGTTCGCTCCTGGTTGGATAGTTTGAGTACCTTTGTAATGTCCCCTTTGTTTAGCCCTGCCTTCCACTTATACACCTCTATCAGGTCGCCCCTCGCTCTACGTCTCTCAAGGGAGTGCAAATTAAGATGCTTTAACCTGTCTCTATACTCAAGGTTCCTAATGCCCGGGATTAGTCTTGTCATTCTCCTCTGAATTCTTTCCAAGGATTCTATATCCATTCTGTAATACGGTGACCAGAACTGAACTGCGTAATCCAGGTGTGGTCTCACAAGAGCAAGATACAGTTTTAGGATGACCTCGCTAGTCTTGTAACTAACACTCCTTTGTATGAACCCAAGTACTTTATTAGCCTTGTTACGAGCAAAAACACATTGTTTACTTGGCTTAAGGTTCCTACTTATCATTACTCCTAAATCTCTCTCGCAGTCGGATTTCTCTATGGCATCGTTGTGTATTTCAATCCAGACCAATTAGGTTACCCCCTACACTTGTGAATCAGAGACCAAGTGTTTGAGTATGGTTGCTGTGAAACATAATTCCTGCAAGGGGAAGTATTTCCTGACATAACCCTTTGAACCAAGAAATGGAATATATATTTAAAAGACCTCGGCATAATAGTGGTTCACAGCTTATTAGTACTGTTGTCAAGGGAACAGTGACAAATTTCCGACAGTAATATCAAGCAAGAAAAAATTAAGTGTTCTAATAAGAAAGTATTACAGTACACAGATATCTATGCAAGTGTTTGGGCAGTTTAGGGCAATGTCATCAAGATTCTTCGCTCTTATAGTGATCTAAAACAGTGTTGAAGTGTGTGATGATGGGCAAAGATAGAAACTTATGTAAGGCAATGCATTCCACTCTTCAGATTATCAGGCACAGTGTAGTGGATCACCTCTTGCACAAGTGTCTAATCTAGTTGAGTAGAGATAATGGAGAAGAATCTGACTTACTTTGACTGGAGTGTCATTCATGAGGCAAGCCTTACGGGTGAACACAGAGCAACACTGGTCAGCTACTTTCTTCTCTTCAAATACATAATGCTCAAGTTCTTCCTTGCTTGGCTTGTTGCACTGAACCTCCACAGCCTGAATCTGGATCTGGTCCTAACATACAAAAAATTAGTACTGTACAGAAATACCTTTACTTAGTTGTACATTATTATTATATATATATATATATATATATATATATATATATATATATATATATATATATATATTCATGTAGATCCACAATGAAAACGTGGATAAGATAAATCTTGATAAAATCACACGGAAAAAGGGAAACAACGGAGCACCTTAGCTTTCGTCTTTATTCAAGACATCTTCAGAGGCAACTGGATTACATGGACAGAGAGAGGCTTAAATATACAGGGTGACCTTAAAAACATGAGGTCATGTCATAATGATGTCATCCACTAATCCCCACACCAACACACACGTAGAGGAGCTTAAGAGAAGGGGGGTGACGTGACTAGTCAGGTCAGGTCAAAAATAAGGGACCCACTAAATAACTATCATACATCTAGATCAAAGGTTTTCAGTTGCCTCTGAAGATGTCTTGAATAAAGACGAAAGCTAAGGTACTCCATTGTTTCCATTTTCCCGTGTGATTTTATCAAGATTTATATATATATATATATATATATATATATATATATATATATATATATATATATATATATATATATATATATATATATATATATATATATATATATATTGGAAACATGGAGAGAACCTTAGCTTTCGTCTTTATTCAAGAAATCTTCAGAGACAACTGAATTACAAAGACTGAGAGAGAGCTTATGTGCACACGGTAACCTTACAAAACATGAGGTCAGGTCAAAAAGCATGACCTCCACTAATCCAGCAAACATAAGAAGAGATTGCAATCACGGGCGACATAACTAGTCATGTTACTTGAGGTAAAAAATATGAGATCCACTAATCATCTATCATACATCTACCTTACATGTTTTCAAAGCATTTTTAACCTTGGGCCATTAACAAATAAATCTGTGTAACATATTATCAGTTTTGTACTGACCATCACTATGGCTTAACGAATATATTTCTCGAATCAAACTTGCTTCAACCAGAAGTCTTTCTGTGACTCATGATGATTTATACACTTCTAAACTGTTTTCCCAATCTATGGGATGATTATTGTTCCTTATTTGAACGAAAAGTGCACTGCTTTCAGATGCCGTTCTAATATTGCCTCTGAAGATGTCTTGAATAAAGACGAAAGCTAAGGTTCTCCATTGTTTCCCTCTCCTAAGATGTCCCCACACACAACGCTTCCGTGACGCCTGCTGGACCACCACTCCACGACCCCTGACGGAGACACGATGATCCTCCCCATACTGGCCAGATATTTTGTAAATAATATTGATTATGTGTTAAAGGAATATCCTTCCTTCCTTAGGCTTTAGTAAGCCGCTTTATAATATTTATACTGTATATACTTGTCACACTTGCCAGATGCTTCTGGTGTCATTGTACAGGGGTACCTAGTGACAGCACTAGGATCCCGCTTCTTCTATCAAGGAATAAACAATTGAAATTGAAATTGTTTCCCTTTTCCCTGTGAGTTTATCAATATATATATATATATATATATATATATATATATATATATATATATATATATATATATATATATATATATATATATATATATATATATATATATATATACTGAGCACAGGTAATTTCAATTCACATCTTTAGGGTATACAGGCTCATGAAGATATACAAAGATCCGCGCACCTACAGTGATTTATTGCATATATATATATATATATATATATATATATATATATATATATATATATATATATATATATATATATATATATATATATATATATATATTGAAGAACTTGAAATAAAATTCAGCAACTTAAAATATTTATAATGATAAAAAATACTAAACATATATATAAGGCTTACATACATGTTTATCTCTGGCACAGGTATAGGTGGTGCACAGGTCATCTGACGCCCAGGTCTCACCCACAGCTTTTACTTGGCTTTCCACAACACAGGCAACCTGGAAATGATCACCACTCGTATAGAAGTAAGGTTAAGAAACTAACTGCAATTCAACCTACAGTATAATCATCATGAAATATAATCACATAAATAATGAAGATTCATTTTCTTTAATTTGTCCAATAAACAAATTAAAACTTAAAATGTAATATCAAGAGAAAATAAAATTGTTGTTAATAACAGCGGACAGAAAAGCCAAGAAAACAATGTTACTACATATCTAATGACATGGATATTTATTTGAATTAAATAAAATAATTAAATAATTAGTTCTTGACTTTTCTGTGTGTGCACTGCACATCTAACACACCCTCAATGTATGCCCCTGCTTGACAATAAAATCAATGGGTCTCTTCTAAGCCACTCACAAACCTTGAAAATGCAAATATTGTACAGTGTATAACACAACTAACAGACACTAAAACATTACGGGACAGACAGATGAACTGCAAATTGTGAACAAATAATAAAAGTTTATTAATCCAACATCTACCTTAGTAACAAAAATCTTGGCCATGAACCCTTTGACCTCAATATTAATTAGCAAGGTAATTATGTAATATTATTCTCACTGATATGTGGAAACTTGAGTTACAGTTCACAGACTAAAGAGTAGATGAATGGTTGGACAACACATTACTGTAATATATTTGGTGAATTATAAGCATTAAAACTATTACAGATAATCAATTACCGTATTGTATTGTTATCAAATTAAATTTAAAGATTCATGTGATATCAAGGAATAAACTATTGAAATTGAAAAAATTAAGATTCATGTTTCACTTTTAATGAAAGCCCATGAACTACTAGTAATGCCATGTCATTTCTTTAAAGACAGTACCAAATAAATCATTATTTTATCACTTTTCTCACTTCATCATTTGTTTTTCGTTTGTAATGTTGGTATACTAGTCTTCATCCCGTCAACCATACAAGAGACAAGGTTGTAGTGGATGTCTCCCCTACAACTGCGTAGCTGCATGCCACCTGCTACGTCTTCCCTAGCAACCAAACTAGCGGCCCAGGGTGGGGCGTCACCAGATGCCACCGTATCCTAGCAACTGAGCCAAAGACCGGCGACTTTCTCGGGTTTTCCCACCATGACTTATAGATGACTCACGGCTGCTGGGTATATAAGCTCTGTCTCTCCATTGAGATTCATTCTGGCCTCTCTTCCTGAACAAGCAACACCTCCTCCTCCGCCGCTGCCTGGCGGCCCTCGCTTCTCCTCCGCCTGCCTGGCGGTCCTCGCTCCCGCCAGCGAGCATGGCGACCCACCAGCTGTCCTTCGCTGAGCTTCCTCACCAACCAGCTCTCATTCTGCTCTCGGTTCCTGAACACGCAACACCTCCTCCCAGCAAGCTCCTCGCTGTCCAGCTTTCATTCAACCAGGAGGCCAGCAACAGGCAACATCTTCTCTAACGAAGCTCCTGCACATCTACCTCCTTCAACACGCTACTCACCAAACGTGTCTACTGAGCAGCTCCTCACCACACGGCACCTCCAGCACCAGACTGTCTACCATATAACTTATATTATATAAGAAAACCACCTTAGAGTTTCCATCCATCCTGAGTGCTAGACAACATTATATTACGAAACCCTACAAGGTCTTACCTGTACACACTCTCCACAGCAGTGCTGGGGGTAGAGGGGTGATGGTTCATACTCCCAGCCTGCAGGGCACGATTCATCACATGAGGAGATCTTTTCTATTTTCTCAATTTTATTATCTGAAGTTTTGACACATTCTACACTTCGGCATCCATTCAAGGGGTCATCAAGCGTCTCTCCAACCTGTTGAAATGTTTATTAAAATTATTGTATAATATACATGATAAGGATGCATATATGGATATTATAATTGGGAAGCAGCAATAATTAATAAACGTACTAATGTACAATTATCCAATGTGATATTGTCACAGTTTTCAGGATGATTATTTCAAACAGTGGTATCTGGCAACACGACGGGAGCCCAGTGAGTGACCAGTGGGCTGGACGCAGTTGGAGTGAGATATATTAATGAACTGCTGAGCTAAATTTTTCGTCACCTATTTTTTTCTGGCATTCCCCCATATTTTTGCAGGTAAAAGGCTTCAAGACAGGTAGCAAAAGTAAAAGAACTATATCCAAATCCCATGCTTGAAATACAAAGAAAATGCATGCAGGAAAAAAATAAAGAACAGCCAGTCCAAGGTGATACAGCAACACAAGCCAATAACACCACTTATATTGTAGAATATTCTGCGTATGGCTTATTTCCTTGTTTAGTTATGCGTATGGCTTATTTCCTTGTTTAGTTATTCTTTTATTTTTAGAACAATATAAAAGGTGTTTGTTACTCAAAATTATTTCATGTATTAGTTGACTATAAATTGTGAATTACATGTATTAGGCTTCATAAAATTTAGCAATTTAACCAATTTTTTTTTCATCCATAACGAATGACCGTTGAACGAGAATTTTAACATCTTATATTTTATTCTTGGGTACTAAATAACAATTATTTTTCTTATAATTATTTGGGGAAAATGTATCAAGAAACGTTTAGTTATAGCTTATAGTTTATCTGAAGTTCTAAATTTTGTTTTGTGAATGTTTCCTGCCTTATGTCATCACCTATCGAGGTGGTGAATACGGATTATATTTGTTTACATATTCATTAAAGACATGGCATAAACATAGTGAGTATGAGTAACATTTCATTTCATATTTTTCAATTCAATATTAATTTCAGCTTAACACAATTAATATATACCATTTAATTTTGACGTCCACTTATAACTCCACAAATTATTCCTGAACGTCCCTGTCATACTACTTCGCTATAAAATACAGGAGGTCGTCATTATACGTGTCTTCATTATAAGTGGTTTCACACTTAAGTGGTAAAATAACTGTGGACCTCCACGTAAAAAGTCCCCACAGTTAAGAGCATTCTAAGCCTGAAATCCGCCAATCTCTTAAAACGCCATCCATCTTGCCCGTGATATACATGGTCAGTACCAGTCACCTGTGTCCACAGGCATTATTTTGAAGTTCTCCAAGAATTATAATTATCAACTTTGTTGTGCCTTTGGTGACATTGGTAGACTGTTTTTGCAGCCGTCAGTTCCAAACTGAAGCAAGGTGGTATAGTGGCTAAAAGGAAGTGTAGTAGCTATGGGATGGACATGAAATTAGAAGTTACATGTCATAAGAAAAGTGGTGAGCATGTCTCAATGAACCACTTTAACTGAAGTGAGTGTGCGACTGCATGGTCAGGTAGTTTGCGCCGCATCAACACACTGACCCCAAACAACTTTCATTACCTTAAAAAAGTTGTAAAGTTAAATAATTTCATAAAATAATGTGTAATCAAATGTTTAACAAATGACTCTCAGGTACAGTATATATAAATGTTAAAAAATACCAAATTAAACTTATGAGTGTCACTTACAATGTGATGGTCCCAATTAGACCCTATTCCTATTAATTCTTATGGGAATTAATTCCCTTTTAAAAGTGATTTCATTATCAGTGGCTTTTTTCTGGTCCCTATAATGAGGACCCACATACACTAACATTTTAACTACATGATTTGTTCTTAAAATATTCTTATGAAAAACTGCTATAGCATTTATTAATTAATATATGTTACTATTTCACAAAATTGGGCTCCACCTCGAAAAAATAAAAGAGAAAATAGAGCTAGTCTAGAAGATGCCAGATACCACTTTTGGGGAATCGTGACATCATTCATTGTACAATGTGCAAGAACCAATATTTCCTTTTCTCAAAGATTTAAACTGGTGCATTAAAGTCTGTGCACTGTATACGAACAATTATGGATATAATTATAATATAAACTATAAATTGATAACATCATTATCACTGCCTGTTGCAGGAATGGGCTCTTTTTAGCCACTCCCTCAGGCTATTCTTTGGTACATACAGACATCCTTAATTCTACAAGAATATTTATGAAATTATGAAAAATAACCTAATAATTTAATTAACTCTGTCCTTTCCGTTCAACGAATTCTTTTTTATTGGATTTATGGTAAAAAAATTTAATATTGAACATGAAACAATATAAAACTCGGACATAATGTACCAGTAAAATTCATTACTGTAATGTTATGTACACAATACCTTAACTGTTATTAGGTTTCTAACCTTTATAAGGCTACAGTGCTTCATATTCCAACATTTCTCTGAAATTACTTAGACTAAATTATTCATTTGTGTTTTAAAATTTAACTTGAACTAAAAGTTTTCAAGAGATTTGCTTGTTTTTTATGTAAAGAAATACTCTTTATTTGTGGTACAATACACCCATACTTTTTGCGATAGTTTTAAAATATCATTACGGGAAATACTGTATTATTATTTTGTTCTTGTTTGTAAGTATCATTTTGGTTTACTTAGTTTATTGTATACGTGCAGCATTTATTGCGCTTCACGTACTTGCTCTGTCATCTGGTTGTCTAGCGTCTAGCAGCTGTTGCTCTGATCTCGGTTGATCTGACCATGTATTTTGAGTAAGAGTTTATTTCATTATTAGGATAAAACCATCATGTTATATTATGGTCATTGTTGTTTCCTCTTTGAATTGTTACATTTGCTTTTGTTTTATTTCAGATAAGTAGTGAAATGAGTCAAGTAAAGCTTAGATGCAGCAACCAAGTGTTTTATTTACCACACTTTTATTCTGAAAAAAATATGTCTTTGTGAGTCAATACAACAGTGTTTGTAATGACGCACATCACCTACCAATCTGCGGTAAATTGTGCCTGCCTGATATAATGTGTTTGCCATGATAAGTTCTAAAAGAATCAAAACCACATACCAGAAATATTGCCGTGTGCCACCTTATCCAATAGCTGAACTTTTGAAGTGGCAATGACTGGAGTAGTCATTGACTTCCCATTTGATAGAGAACATTGAATATTATTTCTTGTGATAATTTTTCCATTAATCCCTCAAAAGATCATAAACCAAGAGTGGAAAGTGTTCTACAAGTACTGTACTATTTTTTTTTCTTTAATTTCTATTTTTTTTAATTCTTATATTTTTGCCCCCAACCTTCCCCGCCCCATTGTGGGTTGACGACCTGTGCCCGGGTTGGCTATTCCCCCCCCCAAAAAACTACATGTTATTTTGGTGAGTACCTAGGTATTGTTTATTCAAATATAGTATTTCGTTTGTGTTCTCTATTGTCTCTAATTACTTAGTAAAGTAAGGTTTGGGTTAGGTTACGGTGTTGGAAAATTTGGCCTTTAAATTAATTCCCCAATTATAATACTATGAGACTTAAATATAATATACAGTTGGGCCAATATCAACAACATAAAATTCACGAGAATAAATTTGAACTTATATGATATGGAAAAGCTGAGGGAAGAATATTACTAAATAAAAGAAAACAAATTTGATGAAAAAAAAAGAGATTATAAAAGACTTGGGATTACTAACCCAGCAAATGCTGAACCAGACCATCTTCTGCAGTTATAGAACACTTTGTGTACATAAAAATTGGTTGCGAGGGCGCATGAGACATTCAATTGTTTCCCTTTTCATTCATTTATAATTTAAACAAAACATGGAAACCTTAGAAGCTGTACGTTGAATGAAATAAACATATAATAATAATAATAATAATAATATGATGATGATAATGGGTAAACAACTTCCTCTGCCATGGTGAGATACACACAGACCATGACTTATCTGTACGGTATAATTATACTGTACTGTACTTTATCACACAAAGCAGTACTATCAGGTATATACAGTATATTCATTTATAGAGAAATTAAAGTATTGTGTATAAAAACAACAGAGTATATCACCTCACATTATCGGCGGGAAAGGGCGGTCAGACTGTCGTGCTTATATTAATAAATACATATTGTATATTGATTGCCTGCCTACTAATGATGGTGGAATCAACTGGCCAATGGCAAAGTAGGATTTGGTCGCTTCATTTCTGAGGAGAAATGCTTCCCATACTCTCAAGCCCATCAGATTTGAATGGGGCTGTGAATATGTCCTCACTGGTTCTGATGGCATGGCACAAACGTGGCCTCATGAAGCATAAGGGGTAACTAAGATGGAATATGTCTCCGAATTCGGGGCCCCACACTAAATAGAAGATATAGAAGAACCTGAACAAATTGAATTACTTGAAAAGACTAAAAGAAATGAAGTTCTCTCTCTCCCCAGGGAAGATGTGAATTTTTTTTACAATTTATATTTTGAAAATCCTCTAAGGCAAAGTGCCAAATCTAATGAAGGGTGGGGAGGGTGGCATTAAAACTCAACAACTCCTAGATTTGGCAGAATTTGTTACAAAAGATAACAAAGCACAGTTTCCTTAAGGCTGAAAAAGATTCGAGGTGCAAGTTCCTGCAGACCATCCAAGATTAAACTCCTATTCCACATGCACCAAGTAAAGAACAGTAACATCAAACTCCATAGCGGATCAGTTGCTATATGCCAAGCTTAAAGACAGATGTGAAGGTGATGGAATTTCTCGTCAACTGTAGAGAGGAAACCCCAACACAATACAATAAGACAAATAGGACCAGCAACCAAACTATGCACATATTAAGATATTAAAAGTTACTTACCTGAATGGCCTCATAGTCATCTATACAAGCAGTTCTAATTATCTGTGGGCAGCATTGACCTGGTGTCTCCACACTCTCCAGCTCATACTCTCCCCGGTCTGGATGACTGTCAAGAGTTGGGCAGGTCTGCTTAGTACACTGGTAGTGTGGCAGCCCATCAATGTCTACTGAACACTTACAAGTTAGGCACGACCCATCTGACCACGTCTCATTAACCTGTAAAATAAATTGGCCATAATTTCTTCCTAAATAGTGCATTCATTTGTATGAGATTAGGTTGTTCTGTTCAAAATTTTACCAAAATCAAAACTTAGAATATTAAAATTCCAGTAAGGACCCTGAATACCGGACCTCCTAAGTAGCGACAAGTCTGAATAATGACATAAAGCTTGAAAAAAATTATTCAAAAATTTGTCAAAAATATCTTTGCAGGTTATTTGTTATTGTTGTGGAGCAATGTGGCACAGGTCACATGGTCCCGCCGTCTGCATAACATATTCTCATTTCCACCACATAAAGTCATACCTTTGGTATAGTGCCTTCACCTTCACCCTATGTTCATTAAAAAACAATTTATTTTTTATAAAATACAATATATTACCTTATTTATCCTTAAAATATAAATTGTATTGACTTTAATGAGAATACTGTACAGTGGTCAAATCAGATTTGATATAAGCCTAATAGGTAAGAGAGATAACACTTGTGTAAACATGCTGGAGGTGGGGAGGGGGACCAGCCACGAGAGATAACACTTGTGTAAACATGCTGGAGGTGGGGAGGGGGACCAGCCAGGTGGGGAGGGGACCAGCCACGAGATAACACTGCGTAACATGCTGGAGGTGGGGGAGGGACCACGGAGATGCTGGTATAAACTTATGCTGGAGGTGGGAGGGGACCAGCCACGAGATGAACATAACACTGTAAAAACATGCTGGAGGTGGGGAGGGGGGGACCAGCCACGAGAGGAACACTTCAGCAAACATGCTGGAGGGGTGGGGAGGGGGACCAGCCACAAGAGATAACACTCTGGCTGGAGGTGGGGAGGGGACAGTTGAGGTGGGGGAGGGGGAATCAGCCACAGAGTAACACTCTGTGTAAACATGCTGGAGGTGGGGAGGGGGCACCAGCCACTAGAGACACTTGGTGTAAACATGCTGGAGGTGGGGAGGGGGACCAGCCACAGAGATAACTGAAACATGCTGGAAGTGGGGAGGGACCAGCCACTAGAGATAACTGCTTGTGTAAACATGCTGGAGGTGGGGAGGGGGAGGGGGCACCAGCCACCACAAGAGAGATGGAGGTGGGGGGAGGGACCAGCTCAGAGATAAGCCACTTGTGCAAAACATGCTGGAGGTGGGGAGGGGACCAATACACAGAGACATAACACTTGTGTAAACATGCTGGAGGTGGGGAGGGGGGACCAATACACGAGAATGTGCACCCTGTATAAACATGCTGGAGGTGGGGAGAGGGACCAGCCACTGAGAATGCACTTGTGTGTAAACATGCTGGAGAGTGGGGAGGGACCAGCCACGAGAGATAACACTTGTGTAAACATGCTAACACTTTGGAGGTGGGGTGGGGAGGGCCAGCCACGAGATAACACTTGTGTAAACATGCTGGAGGTGGGGAGGGACCAACCACAAGAGATGCAATGTGTAAACATGCTGGAGGTGGGGGAGGGCCAGCCACGAGAGATAACACTTGGCCTAAACATGCGAGGGGGGGGGGACCAACCTAGAGATAACACTTGTGTAAACATGCTGGAGGTGGGGTGTGGGACCAGCCACGAGAGATAACACTTGTGTAAACATGCTGGAGGTGGGGTGGGGGACCAAACACGAGAGATAACACTGTGTAAACATGCTGGAGGTGGGGGGGGGACCAACCACAGAGGAACACTGTGTAAGGGGACATGCTCACAGGAGGTGGGGTGGGGGGACCAGCCACGAGAGATAACACTGTAAACATGCTGGAGGAGGGGGACCAACCACAAGAGATAACACTTGTGTAAACAAGCTGCTGGAGACAACACTTGTGGGGAGGGGGGACCAGCCACGAGGAATAACATTGATGTAAACATGCCAGGTGGGGAGGGACCAACCACGAGAGATAACACTTGTGTAAACATGCTGGAGGTGGGGGAGGGACCAGCCGAGAGATAACACTTGTGTAAACATGCTGGAGGTGGGGGAGGGGGACCAGCCACGAGAGATAACACTTGTGTAAACATGCTGGAGGTGGGGAGGGGGACCAGGAGATGCTGGTAAACAGCATGCTGCCAGCCAGCCCACGAGAGATAACATGCTGGGGAGGGGACCCAGCCACAGAGATAACACTTGTGTAAACATGCTGGAGGTGGGAGGGGGACCAACCACAAGAGATAACACTTGTGTAAACATGCTGGAGGTGGGGAGGTGGGAATGTACTTGTAAACATGCTGGAGGTGGGGAGGGGGACCAACCACAGAGATAACACTTGTGTAAACATGCTGGAGGTGGGGAGGGGGGGACCAGCCACTAGAGAATGTACTTTGTGTAAACATGCTGGAGGTGGGGAGGGGGGACCAGCCACTAGGAGATAACACTGTAAACATGCTGGAGGTGGGGGGGGGGGACCAGCCACAGAGAGGACCAACAAATAACACTTGTGTAAACATGCTGAGGTGGGGAGGTGACCAGCCAAGCAGGATATAACACTTGTGTAAACATATGGAGGTGGGGAGGACCAGCCACGAGATAACACTTGTGTAAACATGCTGGAGAGGGGGGAGTGGGGAGGTGGGGAGGGGGACCAGCCACTAGAGGTGATAACACTTGTGTAAACATGCTGAGGTGGGAGGGGACCAGCCACGAGAGATAACACTTTGTGTAAACATGCTGGAGGTGGGGAGGGGGACCAGCCACGAGAGATAACACTTGTGTAAACATGCTGGAGGTGGGGAGGGGGACCAGCCACGAGAGATAACACTTGTGTAAACATGCTGGAGGTGGGGAGGGGGACCAGCCAAGAGAGATAACACTTGTGTAAACATGCTGGAGGTGGGGAGGGGGACCAGCCAAGAGAGATGGTACTTGTGTAAACATGCTGGAGGTGGGGAGGGGGGGGGGGCAGCGTTGCTGTGATTTCCAGTTTGGTTTCAATTACATGGGACCCACTTTCCATTTCAGTGGAGATGAAGTGGATCATGCTTTATACATACATACATACATACATGCAAACATACTGTACATACATAATAATAATGGTTGCCCCTCGTTTAGCAAGGATGGCCGGTCCAAGGGCCACCTAGGCGTGAATTTGTTTGAGGTGTAGAAGCTGTCGCCAACACAAAAACCACACCCTGAATTAACGATTTGCATGACCAAGTGTTAAGGAATAGTCCAAAAAGACCGGACAACTCACCAACTACATACATACATACATACATAAATACATACATACTATTAATAAACCGTTTATTTTTATTATTATTATTATTATTATTATTATTATTATTATTATTATTATTATTATTATTATTATTATTACATACATACATACATACTCGTACATACATACATATATCTCGATAAAACCACAAAGGAAAATGGAAGCACTGGAGCACCTTATTCAAGACATACATGCATACATAAATACATAATGGTTGCCCCATGTGTTCGAGGATAGCCGGCTCTGGGGCCACCTAAGCGTGAATTTGTTTTAGGTGTATAAGCTGACGCCAACACAACAATCAACCCAGTGTCTAGAAATAATCTGAGAAGATCGGACAACTTACGATCTGTAATGACTAACGATTACTTTGGAACACGATCCACAAATCTATTAACACCCAAGTCCCAATTATTGCTGGGTGCACAAATGCAAATGGCATAAAGAAACTTACTCATAGTTTCACCCTGCCCAGGAATCGAACCCAGGTACACTCACTTGCAAGGCAAGCGTGCTGACCATTCCACCACAGGTTTCCACACTCACACTACTACTACTAGTACTACTTTGCCGTTACTCGGAAGTGAGTATGACGATCATCCAGCTATGATACAATGATATGAGTTTTTAAGGATGTCACCTTCATTGGTAAACTCTGAGGTGACTCGAGAGGCCGATACGGGATTGGAAGGTCCGTCCACAGATGTTGCACATGTGGAGGGCTACATCTAAAGCAGGAGGGGAGGCAGCAGCGTCTTTCCGGCGCTGGCGCTTGCCTGTCTTGGTATGCAGTCGGGCTAACTCGAAAGTATTGACACCTTCTTGTGTGGTGCTCCTCCAAGTGTTTCGGTGTTGAATGATCGTCGATTTGTCACTTTTTCAGGTTTGGCTTAAGACTATCCTTATACTATTTCTGTTGTCGGCCAGCATTTGTTTACTAATTGTTAGGTGATTGTAAAGCAGCTGTTTTGGCAGTATACTGTACTGTCTTAGATGTGAGTAACATGGCCACTTCAATTTAGTTGTTAATGGATAATGGTAGCCTCGATGCTCCTACAGTCGGTGTCAGTGAGAATACTGTCAATTGTTCTCTTGTATTTCCAGCAAACTCAGAGGATGGAACGTAAATTACGTTGGTGAAAGTTTTAGAGTGCCTTGAGGTGCCTCCTGTATGTGACCCATGTCTCACTACCATACAGCAGGGTGGGAAGGATTACTGGTCAATACACGTGCAACTTTGTAGAAGATTTCAGATTCCTGCAGCTGAAAACACGGGTACGGAGTCTGCCAAAGTCTTGAGATGCACATCTGATCCGATGTCCGCGGTGGTGGACAGGTGGGAGCTGAGATACTGAAAGTGGGTAACATTGGTGAGAGTAATACCAATAAGCTGGATGGATGGTGGAGATGTGGTTGAACCAGGGGCAGGTGAAAGAGAATCTGAGTCTTATGTGCATTCACCTCAAGGCAAAAGTGTGCATATGCATCTGCATAGGTGTTCAGGATCTCCTGTAGGTTGAGTTCAGTTTGAGCGACAAGGGTGAGGTCGTCTGCATACTGAAGTTCAATGATGGAAGCGGCTGACACATTTGTTCCTGCCTGGAGTCATCTTATGTTGAAAAGACCCTTCATCTGGTACTGGATGTCCACCCCACCGGCTAAATTGGCACTGACATAAGTAAGGAAGGCAGCCAAGAAAATAACGAAGAGAGTTGGTGCCAGTACAGATCCTTGTTTTACCCCAATTTGGATGGGGAAGAACTCAGACTGGCTGCCATTGTGCAGGACACTGCTGTTAATGCCATTGTGGAGTTGCCTCACAATGGCAATGAATTTTGGTGGGCAGCCAAAATGAATGAGGGGTCTGCCAGAGGGCTTCCCTGTTGACCGAGTCAAAGGCTTTAGTTAGGTCAATGAAGGCCATGTACAAGTCAAGACGCTGTTCTCTGCACTTTTCCTGTGTCTGGTGGACAGCAAAGATCATGGGAGGAAGTTTTCCGCCTCAGGAAGTAATCTGTTTAGGTGGACTTGGGTGATAGTCTTCCCAGCTACAGACAGCAGCGGTTTCCCACAGTAGTTACCATAGTCTGACCGGTCACCCTTCTTCTTATAAATATTGACAATAGAGGCATCTTTATGATCTTGGGGGATTTCCTCCTTGTCCCATATATTCTCCAGGAGAGAGTGGAGACGGCTGGTAATCAGAGATCCTCCTGCTTTATACACCTCGGCTGGATTCCTTCAGGCCCTGTGGTCTGGCCGAAGGTCTCATTGCATGTTTTTATGATGACAGCTTTGATAGGACCCCATTCAGCACTTGGATTTTGGTTGTTTGTTGTCGGGTTGTTTATCAACCCATTGTTGAGCTGCTCTCTGAAACCATGTTCTACCGCTGGATCCTCCAGTCGCTTAGTGTTAAAGCCTCTTCTAGAAGCTTGTTTTTGGGCAACGTGAAGGGAGAGTTTGGCTCTGACAAGCCGATGATCTGTGTCACAGTGATTATGAGGACATCTCAGCGATCTCTTTCTCTGACAATGATGTAGTCAATATGATGCCGATGTTTGGATCGTGGGTGTTGCCAAGAACCCTTGAACTTGTCGGCCTGCCTAAACAAGGTGTTAGTGATAGTGAGATTGTGTTCAGCACACTTGCTGAGGAGGAGTAGGCCATTGGGATTGCACTTCCCTAGTCCATTTCTCCCTATGGTTCCCTGCCAAATGTCAGCATCAATGCCAACTCTGGCATTACAGTCACCTTGGAGCACAACCTTATCTTTTCTGGGAAAAGCGGTTAGGACTCTGTAAAGGTAGGTACAAAAAGCCTCCTTGAAGTCATCCTCTGCATCCAGTGTTGGGGCGTATGCACTGATGAAGAAGGCACGACGTAAGTGTTCAGTGGGACTCGGAGGGTCATGAGGAACTCATTGATCCCAACAAGTATCTTAGTTAGCTTGTGTAGAATGGATTGGTGAATGGCAAAGGCAACTCCATAAATGCGGTTTCTCTAGACACTGTATAAGGTTCTTGGACAGCATTCAATATATAGGAGTTTTTTATTCCTCACAAGCCTACAGGCACTTCTAGCTTTTCTTCCCTGCAACATTTACTTCACTGCTCTACAATAACACACTTATTAAACTGGTGACATACATCATTCCTTACAGTCACAGTCAAAACTGTTAAGCTAACAATTCTTTAAATTTCTTCCGGCCACTTTTGACTCTTGTAACTGAGCTAGCTTCAGAACCACATGTACCCAACACTTAAAGTGAGCAACATCCTGCAGTCTGCCATCTACACCACCGCATTTCTTATGTACCTATCTTCCACACACACACTGCACATTATTGAGTTTTGCCACCACCTTTTTTACAGACTAAATACGGTCATTTTCTACTTACGATTAAGGGATCTTCACCCATACCACTAATCTTTACTTTTGTTTTTATTACATTAACTCTCATATCCTTTGATTCCATTCTATCCTTCCATTTCTTAATTTCTCCACTAATTCTCCGATACTGTACTATCTGTTATCAACAGTAATTTGTAAGCATACAACACCTCCCAGAGCAGACCATTCCTAAAATCTTGCTATAGCGTCTCTAGCACCAAGATGAACAGACGGGGGCTGAGGGCCTCTGATGGACCCTTACTTTCACCTTAAATTCCTCACTATTTACTCTCACAGTGGTTCTTGAGCCCTAACACAATACCATAACCACTTTAAAAAGTCACTCTTCAACTCCTAACTTTCTCATTGCCCATTGCACTACCTCACATGGTACAGCATCCTGTCAAATGCCTTCTCTAAAACTAAAAATACAAAGTACAGCTTTTTATCTTTCCTTATTGCCTCTGTAGTTCCCCTGCTTGGCAGGAGCTCAAAATGCATTTAATTACTGCTCACTCCCCCTTATCAATTTCTTGATCATTCTTCTCACAAGTTTCATAAACAACATAACAGCATCAGTCAGTCCCTGTAATTTCCAAGGTCAAGAGCATCACCTTTTCCTTTGTAAGTATTCACAGTTATACTCTTCAGCCAGTCAGCTGAAACCATACATTCCATTATAATTGCATTAAAAAATTTGGTCACCACTTTCATGCCAACATTGTTTGATGCTTTCAGTGAACTATTCCAAAATATCAACAGCCTTTCAGTTTTCATTTTATCAATTGCTTTCTTCATCCATTCTCTTTCAACTCTTGGGAATGGTCTCTGTACTGATTTTGCTGCTTCTAGGCTGCCCTACTCAAGCTCCTCATTCACCATACAATCACTCTATTATGTCCATACTACATACATCCTTGATTTCCTCGTTATCAAAATCCACATTACCAAAGCCATTTCTCATTGCATATCTTATTTCCAAAAGCATAAGACAGCTCTTGGTGGTGATATGGATAGAGAGGTTGAAGTGGATATAGGCTAAGAGACAAAACACTAAAAAAGGGAACAGAAAGTATTAGTTATGAGAGCACAATGACAAATACCATCAAGCTCACATTCAAGAAATAGAGTTATATGTTATTACCTTGTACAGATTCTTCGTATCTGTATCAAATTCATGCACTAGTCGCGGGTAGCCAAAGAGATCAGGAAGATACTGGTGTTCGTAGATACATGCATCAGCAGGGAGTTCTGTCGCATGGAATGTACATATTATTCAAAACCCCTTCACTATAGGATACCACTTTTAACATTTTACATCACTAATGCGAGATAACTGTATTCAGCACAGAGACCTGCCCATGTGGTTAAATAAAAAAAATTAAAAAAATTGCTAATACAGTATTGTATTACCAGGGTCATGCAGATACAAATAATTATGATCTGAACTATGGCATAGAATTGATATATTTTTTTTAATGAACAAATTACTCTCTGATTCTATTTTCTATTGAATGTCTTTTAAAATATAAATTTGCACATATTTTCATATACAATATTATATTATATTATATTATATTATATTATATTATATTATATTACATTATATTATATTATATTATATTATATTATATTATATTATATTTATTTCTAAGCCAAATCAGAGTATTTTATTGATTTTTTGACAACTTTTATAGCATTAATGTTCCAGAAATGGTTGTGAAATGTGATACAGTGTGTGTGTATGAGTACTGCGGTGTAAGTGATGTCATGGGACATGGCTTGAGTGGTGAGTCAGCCACTCTTCACACTTTCACTTTCCACACAAACACCCATGCTCTTCATGTATCTTAGTTTATAGTTTTATATTATATCACTTTTATTTCTAACCCATATTAAAGTATTGCAATGATTTTTCTACAACTTTTCGAGCATTACTGTCGACCTTTACTAGTTGTGGAACATATCATAATTTCCCCATAAGATTAAGTAATCACTATAAGCAGATTCCCATTATGCTGTGTTGTCGGAGAACGCAACCCATAACATAAAGTGAGGGTCAGGTGTACTATTGTATTTTATATTATGCTATGTTTATATGTTACTGTTTACCATAGCAATTTTTGTTAACAAAGCAGTTATAGTGCTACTGGTGGCAGACTCACAAATGAATGACTTCAGTTGCATTCTGATTGTTGGACTAAATCAGAATTTTTATCCTGGAAAATTCAGAAAGTTGGAAATTGAAAAAAGGGAATTGCACTGTAAATTAAATAAAGTCTATGACAATGGATTTACCATAAAAGTGGAAATGTTCTGCATACAATGGCTGGCCTGACATGAATGGGGGAGGTTGTTGGGTGTTACTGGGCCAGTATATTGTGGGAACCAAATTTTACTGGGGAGTGCTGAATATTAATTCTGGTGCCCTAGATACTCTGTGGTTCAATGTATAACACATTATACCCAAAATATAAGGGTGCTGCTACACCCTCCCTTCCTGCGTTTATGTACTAGGTGGAGTGAGAGAGGGAGGACTGTGCAGCACACATGAGAAAACTGACTAACCATGTATAGTGTGTGAAGGAGATAAGCATCTGTCAACAGACAGTAAAAAAAATAACAACTGTGCACATAGCTGAATTTCGATCGTGAATCTTCAATAAAGGGTCACTAATAATTTTTTTGTGAAGAAGTGAATTTGCAAATATGGGAGGATAAGTGTAAGTTATTTCAGATATAGTGCTTGATTAATGTACTGAATGTCCCTTGTTGAGTAGAACAGAGAGATGTGATTAAACATGTGCAGTACAGTACAGTTTCCAATTTCTGACTTTCTAGTCATTTCATACATTCATTGGAAATGTACTTATTCACAGACATATGTTGAAGCAAAATAGTATTTGTCAATTATCAATTAATTATTCTACATGAACACAATATTACAATTAATAACAACCTTTCACCATTTTTACTCCATTCTGAATACATTTATCATTGAATAATCTCCACTTCATCTTAGAATGATAAATGAGGGAGAAGTTGATGGTTATTCACTGGCTTAACTTGCTGAGATACAAGAACACAGACACTACTGTATGTTAAATATCATAGCCAGTAAAGTGAACTATTTGATTGATAAATATATATCCAAGACCAAACCCATTGGCTCGAGGAATACAAGGAGATCGTTATACATGAACCATGCGGCAGTTGGTAAAGTTAAGAAAAAATCTCAGAAATATGATAAGTGGGTAAGGACAAAAGATGAGCAGGACATGAGGATGTATGCCAGGTCCAGAAACCAATTAAAGTCAGAGTGTAGAAGGGCTGGAGGAGAGTTCCAGAGACAGATTACAAGGAAGGTTAAACCAAACCCAAAAGCTTTCTCCTGTTATACAAAATTGAAATTAAAAACACTTGTGGACTTATCAGAGCTGAGGCTTGAAGATGGGAGTTACGCAGACCCATATCAAGATAAGACCGAGAGGCATTAAACAAGTTCTTTTCCTCAGTGTTCACAAGAGAGGATGCAGACAATCTTTCTGCTTTTGAGGACAGACGGTTTGCCACTGCGCTGACCCACATTGTGTTCTCAGAAGAGGTTATAAGAAATAAATTGTTAAAGCTAAAGGTTCAAAAGAGCCTTGGCCCTGACAATGGTGAATCCCAGAGTGCTAAGAGAATTGTGCAACGAGCTTGCTGAACCCATGAAGATCCTGTCCAGTAGATGCCCGGAGGAGCAAAAGGTCCCCAGTGACTGGAAAATGGCTTATGTGAGTCCTGTATTCAAGCTACCCGATCATCACTCCACAAATTAGTTTAGGCCAGTGAGCCTGACTAGCATAGCGTGTAAAGTACTTGAAAGCATTATCAGAGATGCCATTATGGAACATCCAATATGAAACAACCTTGTAAAGGACTGCCAACATGGTTTTATGCTGGGACGCTCCTGCTTGACACATTTTTATTTTTTTTTTATTTTTTACATTGATGGAATTCTTGTATGATAATGCTTAATTTAAGTATAAACATCCCATAGTTTGCACTAGACATAATTTTTTTAGTAATTAACTTAGTACATTTGAGTAAGGTTTGCCCTTGGGACAATCATATATTTTACTCTTGTTTCACAATTTGAATTTAGGATGGTGTGTGTGCATGTAGTAAGTGGTAGTAAGTAGTAGGCAGCTACCAAACAGGGAGGTATTACCTCCTGGGAAGATATTGGAAGCATTATGTATTGTCTAATGGTAGACCCTGCTGCCATATGACATCACGAAAATTGTGACCAAGTCCCAGGTTGCTGATCTGACTTTCGCCTCATTTACACACAACTGCAGGATCTCAATTGTTTCTCTTACTATTGACAACACAAAATACATATATTGTTTCTCACTCTTGTTCTTTTTTGTCATTTTTGTATTTCTTTATCATCATCATCATCATCATCATCATCATCATCATCATCATCATCATCATTATTATTATTATTATTATTATTATTATTATTATCATTATTATTATTATTATTATTATTATTATTATTATTATTATTATTATTATTATTATTATAATTATTATTATTATTATTATTATTATTATTATTATTATTATTATTATTATTATTATTATTATTATTATTATTATTATTATTATTATTATTATTATTATAATTATTATTATTATTATTATTATTATTATTATTATTATTATTATTGCAATGTTGTTATTATTAGTAGTTTTATTTTTAGTTTTGTATTTTTTACTATAAATTTGACTTATCTGAATTATTATTATTATTATTATTATTATTATATTATTATTTTTACTTTAGCCTCTTCACCACTGATTGGCTCGTTAGCCGCTTGGGCGATCGGTCACGTCTCTGTTACGCACTGTTGGCAAGTACTGGGCATACACCGGTTCCTGAATGTACCTGAACCTGCCCCAGTGTTGGTCAAGTCTGGTCTTGAAAGAGCTCACACTCGGTGCCGTCACAACACTTTCTGGTAGATTGTTCCAAGAATTCACAACTCTCACTCCGAAAAAGTTTGCCCTCATAGTTTTCTCGAGCTGTGACCTCTTGTGGGACGAGCGTCCGCCAGCTCCAAGTAAGGACACTCGACTGAGTAGTGCCCCTTGAGTTGCTTATACTGTACACCTCAATTAGGTCGCCCCTTGCCCATCCGTAGTATAAGCTAGGCAAGTTCTGGCGCTCCAATTTCTCAGGGTAGTTGAGGTGCCAAAGTGCAACCAACTGACAGTCCCTAGCATATCTCGGGGACCAGACGGAGTGACCGTACTCCAGATAGGGAAGCACTTCACCCTTGAAGATCGTTACGAGGGACGGACCGTCTAGATATCTGAACAACCTTCTTATAAGACCCAATAATTTATTTGCCTGATTTACCTTCTTCTCGCAATTATTATTATTATTATTACTCTTATTATTATTATTATTATTATTATTATTATTATTATTATTATTATTATTATTACTTTTTCGCCCCCCAGACCCCGAAGTGGGTCAGTGACCTGTGCCCGGGTGGGCTAATCCCTGTAAAAAAAAAGGTGAAAATAGATGAAAAAAATTATGTATATCTGCCCAAAAATGAGTTGAAAAACAACCATAACACCTCACAGCTTGGCCCAGTAGCCTGGTGGTTGCAGTGACGAGTCTAACCTGGCTACAGTGCTATGATTGATCACTATTGAGCATTATTATATTAGTAAACACTAATTAATAGTAACAGTAAATCCAATGAAATATGGCAGGAAGGGAGGGAAGTTAAGTGCCCTCTCGTAATTTTGTCCGGACTAAAGGAGGTGCTGGACCATCAGTTCCCGGAAAATTGGATCTGAGTGTGTATGCTGAAAGCAAACTGAAGTTCTCAGGGTAATGTGAGAAGAAGGTGAATCAAGCAACTAAGCTAGTAGGTCTTATAAGAAGATCATTTAGATATCTGGATGGTTCTTCGCTCATCATGATCTTCAAGAGTGAGGTGCTAACCCCGCCTGAAGTACAGTCACCCTGTTTGGTACCCTAGATATGCTAGAGACGGTCAGTTGATTGAAAATGTCCAAAGGAGGGCCACCAGACTGGTTCCTGCACTATGACACTGCACTTACCCAGAAAGATTGGAATCTCTACAATTGCCTAGTTTATACTATAGACGGGCAAGGGGGACTTAATTGAAGTTTTTAAACATCTCAGAGGGCATTACTCAGTTGAGTGTTCTTACCTGGAGCTGGCAGATTGGTAGATGCTCGCCCCACTACGGGTCATAGCTCAAGGTTGAAGAAGCCAGAAATCCAGAAAATTGTGAGGGCAATTTTGGAGTGAGAATTGTAAACACTTGGAACATCCTGCCAGAGAGTGTTGTAACAGCACTGAATGTGAGCTCTTTCAAGACCAAACTTGACCAATGCTAGAGCAGGTTCAGATACATCATGGAGTCAAGATATGCTCAGTACTTGCCAACAGTGTATAACAGAGATGTAACCAACCGCCCAAGCTGAAAATAAGCCAATCAGTGGCGAAAAAAAAATAAAAAAGTAAAAATAAAAATTATTTGATCTATAAGGGTCTTTGCCTAAAATAATATATTATTTTGAATGCATAATTTCAGCTAAGATTACCTACCTGTGTGTTGCAGCATCTTATTGACTTTGTTAAATCTTTATGCAATGAAATCCTCAATTCCAAAAAAGTAAAACCATATTTATCTATAAACTTTCAGTAACAAATACATAATTAATTTTACTGTACTTGAGTAAAAATAAAACCACCCTTAATATCATACAAATAAACTGAGAGAACATACCACATTTAGTCTTAGGACAACACTCATCCTCCTTCTTTGGTTCTTGTGCCAGGATGTGGAATTCATCGCAGGTGATCTTTGGACAAGTTCCGCTACACTTTGTGGCGTATCTGGCACAACAACCAGAGTCATCCAGTGTCCATACTTCCCCTGATGGACATTAACAATATCAGAATCAACTGTATACAAAGTTTGCTTCAAAATTAATAAGCAAAAAAAAAGAATAGGTTAAAGTATAAACATTTTTAATAATTTTTTTTTTGAGATTTCACTTGACTCATCATCACAACAGTTCAGTTGTTGGACAGAACACTAGCTACCTACTGTACATACTCCCCCATAACATTTCAGTAGTGGGATAGAACACTAAAGTCTATTCACTCAAACCTTACAATGGAGGCCTAGGGTCAGTTTGTAATAATAACTCTTCTGTGTTCATCTCTGGTAATTCCACACTTGGAAAAAAAAATTGCATGTGAAATGCCCTGGTAACATAAACATCATAAAGAGAACATGAACATGATGAACAATTTATGAGACCTTAAGTCGTCCTTGCCCCCGTGACATCATGCAGCGTGGTGGAGGATGTTGCTGAAATGTTTAAATATTTTTCTTGTTATCTTTTAAGATAATTATATTACCAGAACATTTCACATGCTAATTTTTGTTTCCCAAAGTGCAGTTATTATCATTGTTTCATCATAATGCATGTGCTTGTTAAAGCACTGGCATGTTTCCTTTGAACTCATTATGCATGATTTAGGGCAACAACAAACATAAGCTGCTCTGCCTGGGACTAGATGGCATCATGAGTCTCTTGTTTGAGAACAGCATCATCCGATAGACTGACTGCTGAATAAGTAACATACTTACCAATATATCTAACCAATGTTCTTTGAGGGGTAGTAGATGCAGGAGGAGGAGGAGGAGGAGGGGGTTGGAGGAGGAGGAGGAGGAGGAGGAGGAGGAGGAGGAGGAGGTTGTAAGAACACTGGGTATGAAGGAAGAATAACAATAGAAATAAATACAATATGAAGACATGAGATACAGTTCACCACAAGTGAGTACAGGATGTTAAGATCAGATGCAGTCGTTCATAGGTGTTCTATGTGAGTGCATGGAATGAGAGTAAAATGTGCAGTGATTTGATGAATGAAGTAATTTTCCCATTGTATAAAAGAAAATTTGTAAAATATTATAGTAACAGTAGAAGGGAATTAGTGTGAATGGGCAGTAAGGTAGATGATGCATTACCTGGTTTTAGATCTTTGTTATCAGGAATGGTTAATTTGGGGCAGTTTTCTGGCTCTAAACACACGCATGCATACTGAGGGCATACACCTGGTGCCTCGATGAGCTTCTGTCGATGCCCGTAACCACATCTATCTGTTGGCTCAAGTGGAGTGGGACAGTCTTCAACAGGCTTAACTTTGCATTGCTTCCTTAGACCACAACAATCATCTCCAGTTCCATTCACCTATCCAGAAAAACATCTCTTTAATACATTAAAATGAACTGGATAATTAGCTAAGTTGTTGGAATTGTTCACATATTGTTTTTATTTAAAAGCGAAAACTAACCTCAACCACAATATATCCCTCATCACAAATGGGGTCTTCAGGACAAGTCTTGGTGCTGCAAGTGTTACCTTGGTCAGTACATTCACATGTGGTACAATTATCAATTTGCCAAACCTCACCCATACGGTGCCCCTTATCATCACATATCTTACAATAGCTTGTATTTTTGCAAGTTCCATTATCCAAAACCTGAAATTATAAATATTATATTAAGTATATGAAGGATACTTAAACTAATAAACAACTTAAAATAATTAATTAAAAATAGTATAAAATTTATTCAACCATAAAAGAAGAACAAAGGGTATTCTTTAATAACAGGCAGTATAGAACATCACACACACTGACCATGCCCTCAGGGCAGAAGCAGCCATCAACAGGGGATATGGGGCAAGAATCAGGATCTTTTTCAAGTTCCTCATAATTTTCACAGGTATGTACACAAGCTGGTGCACAGGCTCGATACTCTTGACCTGTAATCACCAAAATAGTTTAGTACAAATTTTTTACCTAAGTTTACTTATACATAATAGATAATATATATATGCTGATAACCACAAGGAAAGAAGAAAACACGAAGTGTTTTCTTCTTTCCTTGTGGTTATCAGCATATACCTAGATCACGCGCACCTACAGTGTGTACTTGTTATCATATATATATATATATATATATATATATATATATATATATATATATATATATATATATATATATATATATATATATATATATATATATATATATATATATATATATATATATATTTTTTTTTTTTTTTTACCATAAAAAATCATCTAAGCTCTCCTACTAACATACCTCCTGTGCAGTTCTTTGGACAAATTTCTTCAGAACGCCAGTCCAAACAGATGTCTAAGTCAGCACATCGTCTAGCATAAGCCTCAAGACTGTGACATGCAGCTACCTGCGGCTCACGGCTGCCACAGGCATCAAGTTGACATGAGGATACATATGATGCTGGATCCTCAACTGGATGACACTGTTGGACAAGTCAGATTATGAAAGTAAATAATAAATTAAAGGTTTTTCACTAATGTTGTAGAAAATGGTTATCGTTTGCATTAGTTCTCTATATCTAATTGTAATACATTACCTGTAATATGCAGTATAGATTTATAATCATTATTTTCACCACTTATCAGTTTACTAGCCATTCAGGCGATCGGTCTATCCAGTGTTAGTATAGAAGGAATAAAGACTCTGGGAACCTGTGAAGTTTGGTAGGGTCACACTGTATAACAAACACCCTTCTTATGTGTGCCTGGCCCAAGCAGGATTTGAACCCTTGATATATTGGTGAGAGACACACACGTCACTGCTGTACCACCAACACTCTGGTTTATTGTTTTCAGGACTCAAACCCATGACTAAGAAGATTAAGAAGCTGATTAGCATAAATACTAACGTGTCCTACTGGTTCAGACTATTTAAGAGTAAAATACGACCAATGCAACACAACAAAGTTGTTCAAATATACACATGAACCGCTGAATATGTTTTCTATGATATTAAACTGATACATATCTGCAACACCGAAAATTCAACAGCATTGTGACAACAGTGTAGCCACATTCATATCACTAATACTAATATCAATGAAATGTCATGATTACATTGTGGTACAGCAAGTTTGTGTTGTGCAAGATGAGAGTGTCAACTTTACCCTATGTGCCGAGTAGTCTTTTATCTTTATATAAATGAAATAATGAAGAATGTACGCCATGACATATTTACACATACAGTACTGTATTATGAAACCATATATCTTTTCTACACACTAAAGCTATTGATATATTCATAATATATAAGCTCACAATAGATATGGGAATATCAAGAAATGCAATTATGATATACAGGTGAAGCAGGCCTACCAATATATGCCAATAATCACACATTTTAGCTTTGGCCTATGCAGTAAGTCCCCGCTTAATGTCGGGGTTACGTTCTTAAAAATGCGACGTTATATGAAACAACGTTAAGCTGGTGATGCAAAACGACATAGTATTGGGTCACCATTAAGCGGAACGACATTAAGCGCAGACTTACTGTATTTCATACTGTTGTGCACGGCAGGTGACTCGATGCTTTATTTCCAGCTGCAGAGTTTAGTATATTACAACAGTCATGAATCTGGTTTCATTTTTGATATGTAGTTCTGGTTGCAGTTCATATTTATTAAAAAAAATGTTGCACAGTGATTCCAAAAATTTTACTAAAAAAATTTAAATCTCGGATCTCTTAACTCACCAAACTCCATTGTTATGTGTATGGTGCTTGTGGTTTCAATGTACCAGCAGAAAATAATTTGTTTTTCTTTTTTCTTACATTAAATCATCCAATATGAAATTCAGAAAATTGGTAATACTGTACTCTTATATGCAAACCTTTCCAAACAAGTCTTCATTCATGATATCCAGACAGGGGTCCTCATCAGGAGGTAATGGGAGGCAGAATGTTGCATCCTTCTCCAAAACACCACAGGTACGAGGTTCATTCTCCAGCAGCCAGCTACGTCCAAATTTGTCAACAGACTCAGTCAGAGCTCCTTCCCTGGTCATTAGGTCATCTTCATCATCATGGTTACAGTTACCTAGAAGTATATGCAGGCTACATAAAAATGTGTTTTGCTCTATGGAAACCTAGAGACCACCACAGCATGGCAGTAAGTAATATCTCCATTAGCCGGAATCCGTCTTAACCGGAACTCTCCAATAGCTGGAACTGAAATTTTCCGAAGGGCACATTTTCTGGAAAATTCCGAGTAAATTTTCCCAGTACCTTGAATTCCCGGGCATGGGGGAGTTTTTTCCGTGTTTGAGAAGTGAATATCAGGTGCATTTTCGAGAAATTCCGAGAAAAATTTTCCAGTACCCATAAAAAATTACAGGAATGGGAGATATTTTTTCGGGTTTGAGAGATGATGTAATGTACAATTTCTGGAACTTCCAAGAACATTTTTCCGTTACCCGAAAAATTCCAGGGATGAGGGAATTTTTTTCAGGCTTTGAAGGAGTCATCTTGTTCCCCAGAAATCTTTCATTCCCGGAAGTGCTCTGCACCAAGTGTTCAGGCTAACGGAGATATCACTGTATATATCTACACATATCCTCCAAAAGTAATGTTCTTCTTATGCACACACTTACTGTATGTGTTCACCTTTATTACTATTATTATTAGACAACCTATGCATATAAATTTGTTTCATAAATATTTTAAAATACTGTACTGTACTCAAAAACCATATGAGGGCATATTAAGATGGTACAGTACTATTGTATGAACAACTACATTCCACTTTGGTGATTTTCATCTGGGTGATCATCTGTTTGTGTGATTTAACCCAACCTAATCTAAGTGGGATGGCAGAAATCATATAAAACAAAGGATTGTTCAGATGGGAACCATCCAAGTGGGATGATAACTTATGGATTGCGGGTTCATGTAGAAACAGTGAGTTGATACATATATGTGTACAGATGAAGCGAAAGTAATGGCAGAAATCTTGGTTTATTGCACATATAAAAGCGGTTGCACCAAAATATAAGAGTAATCATAGCACCATTCATTGACAAGCACTCAGCAGGAAGAAGATTGAATCATTGAAAATTCTGCTTGATGAGACAGTTCGTATTGGCAATTTTATCAAAGTCAGAGCATTAAACTCATGGTTTAACTTGTGAGTGTGAAGAAATGGATATCAGCTACACAACACTAATTATGCAGAGTGAAGTACAGTACTGTAGATACCTTAGAGCAAGGTTTTGACTAGTGTGTTCACTCATATCTCCTTTTGTGATATATTTTTATGAGTAACCCTATGAATGTCTATCACATTTCTCTGATCCTGTGTGGCTATTAAGATTAGCCCAGCTGGGGAAATTGAGTGAATTGAATTTCATTCTTGAAGACAAAACCATAAAAACTGTAACTACCTGCAAGAAAAGTGATTTGAAATTGTAAAAAAATAGTTGTGGGAAACATGTATAATAAAAAAATTATCAATCTGTTTTTCTTCTTTACATGTTTCGTTGCCAGCTACAGACTTAAGTGAGGCAGGATTTACCAAGTACAGAGCAAGAAAAACAAAATACTGCATAATACTCAGTATGATGCAAAACCAGATATGAGTCTGCAATTATCTCCCAATGAATCTAATTTAAAAAAGCTCCTTGACAACTAATACTGTACTAGCAACCACCTCAATGATTGAATCAACAAAAACAACAAATAGTAGAACTATTAGTTTTAGAATTACAAATTATTTTTAATTTCTGTATTGTCCTTCCAGTGATATAACATCTAAATTTCACCTGAAAAATAAATGAACATATAAATTTACTCTTGATCAACACATGATAAGTCACTCCTGTACCTGTTATACTGTAATTATGAATCATTTCAGATATTCTGGAGCACTACCGTTCAAGATGGTGTATAAATGACCAAATATTAATTTTAACTGTTCTGCTCTGTAGTCAACAGGAAGTAAACCAACACTACTAAAATGATCAAAACCGACATGCATTCTGGGGGAAGTATTAAGCATATACTGTACTGTATCTTACTACGTTGTTTTGAATAACCTCCATCTTATCCTTCAATGTATTTTTAAGGCCTCTATACTATAACCATAATGAACAAGCACAATCCAGTTGATATTGAAACAAAGGCGATACAAGATTTTTTTTTTCTCCTCAAAGTGAACATTTTTGTTGTGTCTGTCGAAGAATTTGAGTTTATATGCAAAGTACTTTTGAATGTTGATGCTGCTCACTTTCCCTAAATGTTAAAAAAATTGTTTATGTCCACATGAGCATACACATTAGCATGGAGGAAGAAGACTCAAGTTATTTTCAGCCAAGTCAGATTATTACGAGTTTCAAGTCAAGTCACAAGTCAAGAGCGGCAAGTCTCAAGTCAAGTCAAGGCAGATTATATCTGAGTCCAAGTAAAGTCCCATGTCCAAAAAAATAAGGACTAGATTCGGACTCGAGTTTCCATCTCTAATTACTGTTATATTCTTGGACCTGTGGCCACATATCTGGTACCTCCAACAGCTATACTGTATATGTCAAGCAGGAGCATCCAGACATAAATACATGCTGGCCTCATGTAAATGCTCTCTAGCACTTTAAGCTCACTAGTCTGTAATCATTCATGCAATAACAATTAACATTTTTGGATACAGAATTAACATAGCAGGGAACCCTCGAAGACCTGGACTAAAAGGGGGGACCACCTGTCTGCAGAAGCCAATTGTCCGGATCTCCCGGCGTATGTACAAAATGTGTAAAAAAAATTATAATAATTATATAAAAAACACCATAATTACAGTACTGTATTTTACAGCATATAAGACCAATGGCCAGGTAAAACGCACCCCCCATTTTAGCCGGGAGTATTTAAGAAAAACATTCGTTTGTATTTTCCTCCTATAGCCATAGCTTTCTTAAAATAATATACTGTATACAGCACCGGTAAATGTGAGTCATAAATAAAAATAATACAGTACCAATAAATAAGTTACAACAAAAAAATACTGTATTTCCACACCAGTAAATAAAAGCCAATTGAAAGTTTAACTCAGTCGCCATTTGCATACACTCCCTGCTTCATCATAGCAACAGAAACCAGCTGGGACGCTACTTCCGCTGATTCCCTAGCGATGCTTCCCACCCCCTACACCTTGCGCCCTCCTCACGCTCCCCCACTGAGCCAGCTAGCGCATGTGTAAAGAAATGTATATTCCCTTCATGCATTTCCCCTTAGGACAATTATTTATTTTACTTTTATTCACAATGTGTATGTAGGATGGTGTGTGCATGTAACTGAGTACAAATATGAAGAATGAGTAGGAAAAAAACCATAACATTTCACAGCTTGGCCCAGTAGCCTGGTGGTTACAGTGAAGAGTCTAACCTGGCTACAATGCAGCCAATGATGTTAACAGATGCAAATGTACTGGCACCATCAACATCGTAATTCATTGCAAATGTGGTAAGTTTATCCTTGGCCTTACATATGTCTGACACAGTTTGTTTCTCAGTGCTGTATTTATCACAGATGCGAGCCATGGACACACCAGACTCTTAACTTCTTTATTAACTCAAGTTTCTGAACAATAGATAAATGTACATGCCTTCTCTTCACACTACCATTTGCTTTAGATGCCATGATTAATCACTATTATTAGTAACCACTAATAATAACAGTAAATCCAGTGAAATATGACAGGGATCTAGGAGTGTTACAACAGCAGCTGACGCCCTAACTAGCAGTCAGTCACTCCCCTTACATATCTTGTAGTCTAATTTGAAAACGGTGACAGGCACAGTGATAAACAAATTATATAAACCATGCATTTACCTACGATAACATAATAAGGAACATTGTATCATTACTAGAGTGAATGAAATAATATTCCCACAAACAACAATTGACAACTCTATTTATGTTTCCCGCCTCGGGCACCTGAGTTACACGGGCCTAAGATGATCTTGTTCTGTTTTGGGAATGCTTCTTAGGAAGGCTTCTTAGCCCCTGGAACCCCCAAATTTTGTCCGAATCTTCTGAAATCCCGATTTTCCTGGTTCGGATCTTTGACGGTTCACTATACAATTCAGGAATGCCCCGTTTATCTCCAATTGATATTTTAACACCCCTATTCGACATTTGCCAAGCATACCCAGCTTATTTGCAAATAAAAAATTATGATACTATGTACATAATATTTCAAACCAGGCGGGCTACCCGCAGTTTTCATATTCCGACGTAATGCCAACTTCACTCCTACTGGAGAACCTTTAGGTTGCCCTGTTGTTATTTGTCAATTCTTAATTTTGAATAGATTTATGTATTATATTCAATTATTTTACTCTGTTACGCGCACACAATTGTTCATACAGAATGTGCAAAAAAATTTAAATAAATTATTATCATAACATCATAAACATAAATATAAACATACCTGTATTATGTCCACGGTAATTAGTGTGCGACCTTGGGAGGGGAAAGAGAGAGTGGGACTGGCTGGAGGGGGTGTGGGGAAGCAGGAAGGGGCGTGGGGGAGTGGGAGGGAGTGGGAGGGGATGGTGGGTGCAGAATTGGAGATAGTGTGAGGTAAATAATAATTATAATTAACGGTTTAGTGAATAAAGTTCAGCAGTTTTCTGGCATCTTCGTGGTGTACAGGTTCCTAAATATAACCTTTTTTTAAATTTTTTTTGTCTCCTTTTTTGCCCGTTAGGTCCCGTTGTGGGTCGATGAGCGGGTGGGGTATTCCCCGTAAAAAAAAAATAAAAAAATCAGAAGGCTCAAAATATAAAGTTAACAGAAATGAGAGAGACAAACACACACACACACACACACACACCATAATCTCCCTTGCCACCACCACCAGCCTCATCATCCCCTCTACCTCTATTATCACCAACTAAATCATAATGTCAGTGATCCAGAGATGGATTAGCCTCAGCCACAGCCGTGCCGCATGATACTTACTGCCTGGCTCCCACCCGCCCACTCTCACACTTCATCTCACTAACATGCTGCCTCACATGCGTTCTACTACAATTGGTACCACTATCCATCAAACAACTGTCATTCATGATACAATATTGTTTATTTGTTATTCATTAATTAGTAGATATGTTACTGTAATAATCTGTATTTATTAATACCTGTACTCTTCAATTACAATACTGTACTGTATACAGTATATCTCATAAGGGAAAAATATCGTCATCAAGAATACATCTCTATAGATGCAATGGTATAATGACCCCTTGAGTGTTATTTTGGATAGCGCTCTCTTATCCAGAAATGTATCCTGAACGCTAACCAGGGTATTACCGTATGTGGTTTGCTTTAGCACTCAATTTGTATTTATTTTTATACTGGTTTAAGATTTTAACATGCAAGCTGTGCATCATGCTTTTCATATTTCCTGTGCATAATGCTTCATGGGAAAACATCCTGACATGCTACTGAGGCTGTTGCAGGAAGATGTCTGTCCTACAGAACTTTTCTACCCTTCCCATCCCTTGGCTGTAAAAAGTATTTATCCACCACACTCTACCTGTTCACTGTATGATGAAAGTTGCTGTTTGAAATAAAGTGTAAAATGAGTTTGAAATATCTTTTGAGATTAAAACAATTCACATATAGTGGCATCAAATACAGTATTAATAGAACTTTATGAACAATGTGAGACATACCACAAAGTCCCTCTGTTTTGTTGAAGTACAGGTGTGATGGTAGACGTATGGAAAATCCAAAGTTTTCCAGGAAGAAAGTCACTTCCAGTTGTATAGCAGCTATGGCTGCCATAACCTGAGAAAGAAATAATAATCGACATTTATCATGGGCATTAGTGGATATAAATTACCATATTTGCTGGTGATTAAGATGCACCATACAGTATGCAGTACGGTGGAATCCCAGTTATCTAGCACCTACGAGGATTGAGTGATGCCGGTTAAACAGTTTTCCGGTTAGTTGAAACTCACTCTTAGGATCCCCCAATAAATCCTACAATGTATAGTGCTACAGGTTGACCTCGCAAATTCGTGTCTCAGAAAAACGGAATTCTTTAACACTTATTCCACTCTATATAAACGATGTGCCATAGAAGTAAAGAAAATATTTAATAATATAAAAATATAAAAGAATAAAAATGAAGAGCATGGGTGTGTATATGTGTGTGGGGACTGAACGTGTGTGGAGATGGTGGGCTGTAACTGCGTTGCCAATTCGCCAGCCCAGCCACTGCATTTATTACTTCATGTAATGGAACTATAGATATTGTTGAAAATTCATTAAAATACTTTATTATGGCTTAGAAATATAAAATAATTATAATAATATACTGTAAAACTATTAAATATTAAAAATGAAGAGCATGGGTGTTTACAGTATGTGTTATAAGGGAACATGTGTAAAGGCAATGAACTATAACCAAAGCCTTGGCTGTAACTACATCGCCGACTCACCAACTCATCTGGCTTGTATATAGTTAATATAGTTACTTGTAATGAAAATATACCTGTATTAGTGGTGGAAAATCATTCCAATACTCTACTGTGACATTATACCATCAGCCCAACACAAATTTTTACCAATGGTTGAAAGCATAAATAATTAATGGTTTCGGAAACATGATTTTACATTTTCATTTAGGATAACTGTTCAATCCACACTGCTAGGATCATCAGACAATGGTTTGACAAGCAGCAGAACTTAGAGCTTCTGAACTAGGCGAGCAAAGGGGTGCGACCTAAACCAGATCGAAAACCTCTGGGGTAACATAGTCAACTCCTGTTTCAGCATACTATGGCTGAGTAGGAGCTCTTCCAACGGAATCAGCAATTTTCCATATTTTTTTTGCATATTACAGACTTTTTTGTCTGAAAAGAGCCTAAAAAAATCAGCCTGTGTCCTATAAGTGAAACTGCAGTGTTCTGAAGGCTAAATTCTACCTTAATTAAAAAAATATTATTACTTAATTAACTACATTATTATTAGTTTTAATTCATTAAAAAAATTAAATCTAAAAGCTGAATTTATAATTACTGTACTGATGATGATAACCTGAGACCATTAGCATCTGCTCAGCAGACATCCAATTCTGCAGAGCTAAGCAGTAACCATTTCTGAACTCTTGCAACCGTTACTATCCATTGGGATTAAATTTAGAAATACCTTATACAAATGAAGACTTACAGATAACTTTCTTTTCATATTTGCAATTGTTAGCATCGCTGGTGGCATAGTAGCCTAGCGACTCATCATTGTAACCACCAAACTACAGGTACAAGGTCAAGCTGTGAGCTATGTTATGATTAATTTTAAACCCGTACTTTGGGGTAATATACAGAACTTTCTTTCTTTTTGTATTCAATTACATGCACACACCATGATACATAATGTGCAACAAATACAGTAAACAAAATATTATGATAAGGCCAAACACATAAAGGGAATAAACATTTCTTTGCACACGAATTAGCTGGCTCAGTGGGGGAGCGGGAGGAGGGCGTGGAGTGTGTGTGTGTGTGGTTGGGGGGGGGGGAAGCTGTTTTAAGGGAGTCAGCGAAGGTAGGTTTGCATTGCCATGGTGAAGCCGGGAGTGTCTATGCAAATGGCGATTGCGTTAAACTTTCATTTAACTTGTATTTAATGGTTTTAGGTGCATTTTTAAAATCTAGATTGTACAGTAAACCCTTAAACATTGCAGAGGTTAGGTTAATGAAAACCCTGTGAAAACCCAAAACTGTGATGTTCACCTACGAGAAGCTACAGGAAGCCAAAATTGCAAAAAAAATAAAAGCTCACTCCATAACACATTTACTTCCCACATATGCTCTACATTTTCTTACTTTACAGTTTTATATTATATGTTTTTTCTATTTCTAAGCCACATTAGAGTATGGTAATGATTTTTGACAACTTTATAAGTTTTATTAAAAGGAACAATTAACGTTGTGAGTAGGCTGGCGAGTCGGAGATGTAGTTGTAGTGCATCACCTACACACATGTTCACTTCCCACACTTACACAACCAGGCTCTTCATTGTTCTTATTTTACAGTTTTATGTTATATTTTTTATTGCTAAGCCACATCATTTATCTAGAGTAGAATAATGGACGAGTTGCCGGTTCTGAGTAAACACAAGTAATACACTCTGCCACGTTAGTAGAGTGATACGTTATATATGATTTGTAATAATAGTCGAGATAAGTTTATTTCTCTAGAAACAGGGCCGTTATTTGCAATGACGTCACCAACTTCCCGGCAGACGACGTTCTCCAACAAACTCACCATTGCAGTCTTAGGTAGAACAAAGGATGGCCCCTTCAAACCCCAAATACCACGTTCAGGTAAGTTTTAAGGGTGTTTTTTTATGGTCTAAGTCATGGACATTTCGTAAGTGAAGAAATGTGCCATGAAGAGCAGCTTATGGACATAAAAAAATCCCATGTTCACACTAGTTCAACTGTCATGTATTCTTACCTGGTAGACTTTCTCATTTTCCCACAGTGCATTTACAGGGTATATCAGTACTAGATGGAGATACGAGTCAATTTAGAAATAATGACATTGTCTGGATTTTGTTTTGAGAATGCATCGGGATATATAATCATTTATATTAATTAATGGGTAAAATTTTACTTTAACTACCATAAGTGTTTTAATGTTTAGATTCGAGATAGGCTATATTGGGTAAATTTTAAGTTTTGGTCATCCCTGTACTGAAGACATGCAAACTATTTTTTTTTCTGATGGTTTGCGATGTGTTTTGAATGATTTAGACCTTCATTTCTATCGGAAATCAATAGTTTTGAGTTACTACCCCCCTCCCCTTACCGATGTATGTTAAGCTAACCTAATAACTCCTCATACCCTAAACTAACCTATGATCTGTATTTTCTTATGCGATCGAAAAATGTTCTGCGCTAAAATCCCGTAGAGATGATGTGTCTTATTGTTTAAAGTACAAAGGTTCCCGAGACGACCAAAACCAAATTTATTCCATTATTGTTTGGAATGTTTATATTATGAAATTTGTAGTCGGGGAAGTTAGTTAATGTGCTTAGTAATATTTATATATTCAAAATAGTATTACTCTGTTGCACAGTAAAGCACAATTAATTATCTAATAATATTTATTTACAGAGCCGATCAGCCGAAAAGGTTGGACAACTACTTCCAGGGTTCATCAAGGCAGATGAAAGAAATTTACCAAAAGTAGGCGCAGGATTCTGACATGGGGAGGTGCCGTCGAGCAGCAAGCCACTCTTTCTTATCTTCTTATCTTTCGGTACTATGATGAATATTTTGCCTGGTGAGGATTTGACGGTACAGTGCTCTTACACATTGGCACGAAGCATCAACGACTCTTTGTCCTTTCCTTGAACATTGCATATGGCCACAAGTCCTATATTTCTGCTGGTAACAACACATACGCCAAAGCTGGTTGCCTCCAGTCTCGCTCGGCGGCTTGAGCCAGCCTGTAACGTCACAACCAGTCACAGAGTTTTTCGCAATCACGTGACTTTTCAGCTACTTTGACCCTTATTTTTTTACACTTTTGGGCCCAATTTATTTTAAAATATCATTACCATAGTGAATGTAAGCGTTTTCTTTACCCATTGACCTGCCATCTTACGAAAAAATTCCGACCGATAACTCGTCCGTTGTTAAAGAAGTCCGTTTTCTGAGACGCGCAGGGAGTGAGCTGGCTGACATGCCAGTCAGCTGTGGTCTGGAGTGATGGTAATGCATGTTACCATTGTTACATATAATGAAACTATAAAAGTTGTGGATAAATTATTTCAATACTCTAATGTGACTTAGAAATAAAGAAAATATAATATAAAACAACAAAGAGCATGGGTGTGTATTGTGTGTCTCTAAGGTGCAGTGGAACTCTCCCGCACTACCGTAGAGACCCCTCACCCCTCACAGCTGGTAGTGGAAGTTGTCAGACACATGTACACAACCTCCCTTGCTCCCCGTGCAACCCGTAGTGCAACATGCAGAGAAGTGAAGGCTGTGCTGTTTAAAGGTTTACTGTAAATTAAGGTTGCTTGAAGTAGCAAAATTGTTAAATACCATAAGCAAGGTAGGTAGTACGGTTTATAAATGCTGGGAAAGGAGGTACAGGGAGTTGTAAGTTTGCTTTAGCCTTTTGATTTGCACTGTAGGTCATTCCTTACATTATTTTTGTTTTTTTAATTTTACTTGTTTTTCAGTATTTTATATTAGTTTTGTATTTAGAATAGTAACACAAGACTTGTGACTATAGCAACATTCCCCTAGCCCTCTCCATACCACTAGCCCTCTCCATACCACTAGCCCTCTTCTATTAGATACATGTAATTTGACTTTTTTTTTTACTCTGTTACATGCATACTCAATCTTACATACAGAATGTAAAAAAATATGATAAATAATTATCATAAGGTCAAAAGATAAAAGGGAATAAACTTTCTACGTGTGTTAAAAGGAAGGGGGAGTTGTTCTGAGCCATCTCCCATGTGTAGTGAAACTATTGACAAATTTTGTTGTTCAGTAGCCAAATGGCAATACAGTATTTGTTGTTTTAGCTTAATTATTGGTATTAATTTTATTTAGAGTTCACATTTACTGTACTGATACTATAAACTGTATAGTATTTTAAGAAAACTATGGCTTCATGAGGAAAATACACACAAAAGTTTTTCCTAAATATTCCCCAGATGATGCCCCATCAACAGACATTTTCAAAATAATAACCGAAAACAGTCTAGGAATCACCAGCAAGGATAAGGAAGATAAAATGACACAGCAAG